GATACTGATGGCCGATTTTTAATGAGCCATATCAGCCAATACCAGTCTGATTCTGATACACAAGCAGGCAGCTTGGAGACCAGCATCAGGCTGGTAAGTCTGGTATGGGGGAAGGGGTGAGGGGCATGGGGGGGCGACTGAGGGCCTCGCAATGAGAGAGGGAGTGAGGCAGGGGCAGCACACAGCAAGGGTGAAGCGGGGTGCAGCACAGAGCTGCAAGGGGCTCATCCAGGAGGTACAGTGAGGGCAGCTCCCACCACTGCACGCATCTCGGGAGGTCATGGGGGGGTGCCCTTGGGTCTGTGTGCAAGGTGAGGGTGGGCTGCCACTGTGGGCTGGAGCCAGGGGCTGCACTGGACTCTTCCTGGCTAGGTGCTGGGCCAGGCTGCACTCAAGCTGGGCAGCAGCGGCCCTGGCAGAGGGATATGGGGGGGCTACAGCCACCCCAAAATTCACCATAGCCCCCCCATGACCAACCCCCGTCCCAAGCACAGCCTGGCCTGACCCCAGCCCACAGCGGCAGCCCACCCTTTCCCTGTGCATGGATCCAGGGGCACAAATACCCATGCCCTCCTGGGGTGCGTGGAGGGCAGGAGTTGCCCCCTCCCCCCATGTCCCCTGGACAAGCTGCTTTTGGCTCCGTTCCATGCCCCTCCGTGCCCTGGCTATGCTGCACAGGCTCCTGCCCCTGCTCCAGCCCCAATCCCTTCCTTATGACAGGGGCCTCAATCTGCCCCCCCCATGCTCTTTCCTTCCTCCCACCCTTCCCCCACAACAGACTTACCAGCCAGATTCTGCTCTCCAAGCTGCCAGGCTGCACTCCTGGCCACATGCATGCTGCAGCTGTGCTTGTGCACAGGGCATTTATTGGCCACATTATGAGCCACATCCAGCAAAAAAAAAAGCTGTTTTCTGATGCTGTCAATTTTCCCTATGTTGGTGCCAATCCAATATGGGACCAATGTATTGGTGCACCTGTATTCATAAGGATCCCTACAACCTTGATGTGGCATTCAGCTTGTTCTCCATTTCAACACATTGGAGCATGAATTCAAAAGCTGTAAACTTTTGAAGGAAAACAGCCTGTTAGTCACCCTTCCTGTTTAAAATGGCGGGGACTCAAGCTGTCCTTAGAGATCACAATTACTGAAGTGTTCTGTGGAGAAAGAAACAATTCAAGGGTGACAGAGTATTATTACCTTATGCTCTTGGACTTGAGCACACACTTGTAATTTTCTTGTGTCAACTTTGGTTTAGATGTAACAAGCCAAATTCTTTTCAGAGAAATGCATGTACAAAACACATTTTTGTGTTTGTGTGGGCAGAATTGGCTCACATCTACTGAAAGGAAATCTTTAAGGGATTTCTTCCTTTAAAAGTGGAATTCTATTTGGCTGATTGGGCTAGATATAATTTGCCCTCTCAGAGATGACCAACAAAAAGGTGTATGTCCTATGAGACTGAAGCCTATGAGATTATCTCTCTCTTAGGAAAAAACCTCATGAGGAGGGAGGTAAAACACTGGAAGAGGTTACCCAGAGAGGTTGTAGAATCTCCATCCTTGGAGGTTTTCAGGACCTAGTTAGACAAAGCCTTGACTCAGATGATATAGTTGGAGATGGTCCTGCTTTGAACAGCAGGTTGGACTAGGGCTAAATACAGTCAAAAAGTCTAAGGCTGAATCAATTAAATCTTTGCAGGTTAGTCTAAATGGCATAAATAGAACTCATAAGCAAATGAACCAAAACTCATTTTAATTTCAGAAATGCAGCCACATGCCTGCATGGCCCAGGCCAGAAGCCAGGGGGTCGCTAGAGCATGCCTCCCTGCTTGGCTAGAGCAGCTTGGGCCAAGCATAGCTCACCCACCCTGTGATGGGGAGGGCTTGAGGGAGAGGTGCAAAGTATTCTAGGATATGGGGGGACTGAGAGTTACCTTGAATTTAGAGGTGATCTGGGATAGGAGTTCAATAAACCGATTTAACTTATATCAGTTAAGTCTGATACTACATCCATCCAGGTTTATCTTAAATCAGTTTTGGCCATTTTGAAAATGGTTTATGTGCACTGAACTTCTGTTATGTTACAGATCTGAACTGTTTTCTTATCACTTATACCAATGTATATATACCTTCTGTCCCTAGCCTAGATGACCTCCTAATTTTCTATGATTCTATTATTTGTGCAGGAGTGAGTTTCACTGAATATGTTAAAAGAAGCTTATATGTGGCTCTGCAACTACCTCTGTGCCCTTTAACTTTTTCCATGCAATCTCAGCCAGTTCTGGACCGAGTTCTACTGTGAAGCATTATTTTTTCAGATTTTCAGTCATGTATCATAGTGCTTAGGGTCAGAAGGGACCTAAACAGATCATCAGTTCTGACCCCCTGCCCCAGGCACCAACAAGTGCTGGGGTCATAACACCCCAGCCAAATATCTATCCAGCCTCCTTTTGAAGACCCCCAAGGTAGGAGAGAGGACCACCTCCCTTGGGAGTCCATTCCAGAGCCTGGCAGCCCTAACCATAAAGTAATGCCTGCTGATGCCCAGCCTGAACCTTCTCTCTAACAATTTGTGGCCATTATTCCTAGTAACCCCTAGTGGCGCTGAGGGAACAGAGCCTCCCCCAATTTCTGCTGGTCCTCCCCTCCAGTGCATTTGTAAAAGGCCACCAGATCCCCTCTCAGCCTTCTCTTGTGGAGGCTGAATAGATTCAGGCCCTTTAGCCTCTCTTCGTAGGACCTGACCCACTGCCTGCGGGTGGTTCCGCCTTTGTTGAGGGGGGAGGGGAATTAAAGTAAAATAAATTCTAAAAACCTATAAATTTTGGCATTTGATTTGGGGTTTTTTATCATGGAAAATCAGAGTTCCCCCTACCCCCTTGGCTCACCAGGACATGATTCGGGCTGTGGCTGTCCCCCACCACTGCTTTGTGGTGCTGAGCAACCTTGATATGCCAGTGCCCTATCCATGCCATTGCCCCTCACTTCCAACCCATAGGTCTCTAGCCCTGATGGTGCACCTAACTCCAAACCCACAACCACCTGCCCCTGCCAGGGTCTCTGACTCCTGCCCCTCAGCCCCCCAGCCCTGCTGGTGCCCCTCACTCCCCACTCACAGCCTCCTGGCCCTGCCATTGCCCCTTACCTATGACCCACTATCCCCTGGCCCTTCCAGTGCCCCTCACTCCTGGCCCACAGTCCCATAGCCCTGCCAGTGCCCCTCACTCCCCACCCACAGCATCCCCCAACCCTACCAGGGCCCCTTAGCTTTCCCAGCATCCTACTCACGCCAGACACCAGGTAGGGAAGTGGTGGGGATGGAGGTGGGGAAGGAGCTGCAGCTGGGCAGGAGCACGGATTGTGGGGCTGAGGCTGGCAGCAGCACAGAGCCCATGCTCAGGGGAACAGCAGAAGCATGGAGCTTGGGTGGGTAGGATGTGGGTGTGAGGGAGTGTGGGGGGTGTGGGAATTCCCCCCACATTCCCCCTTTGGTGTGCAGCCTCCACAGGCGGCAGCAGCAGCAGAAGGTACAGGTGCTCAGGATGCTCGTGTCCATGCAGGTGCTGGAGCCCAGTCGTGCACCTGGCCAGCACTGCACATCACAGCAAGGGGCACAGCCCAGCTGATTGCCTCTATCTCCAGCACACCCCGCTGTGCATGTGCAGCCACAACACTTGCATGCCACTGGAGGGAAGCCCCATTTGCTGGAGCTGGCTGCCTTCACTGCTCCCTGCCACACAGGTCCCAGGACTCTGCTAGAAGTGGAGGCAAACACCAGCCCCTGCTCCCCTGCAGAGTCCTGGGACCTGTGCAGCAGGGAGCACTGAAGGCAGCTGGCTCCAGTATGTGGGGCTTCCCTCCTGTGGCTTGCAAATGTGGGGGCTGGGTGTGCATGGCAGAGAGTGCCAGTGATAGAAGCAGCCCAGCCAAGCTGCTCATCTCACTGAAATGTCCAGCACTGGCTAGAGTCACACACCACCAGGCAGCAGTGCCTGAACTAGACACGAGCATCCCAAGTTCCCCCACCTGCTGCTGTGCCATGGGGGGAGTTTGGGGATGTCCACATAACTTTCACCCTCTGTCACACCCCACAAATGCCTACATCATGCCCTCACAACCCCCCCACATATAACCTATGCCCCCCCCACACAGCCACAACCCCTCACAAACTCCCACACACATACATCTCCACACCCCAGCATGGACACACACACAACCCCACACCCCTCTGTACACCCACACCCATCCCCAACCCTTCCCCACACAGTATACAGAACTAAAAAAATATGTTTGCATTATTATGCAATCACCTCTACATACAGAATGCAAACATAAATCATGACAAATATATTTTTTATAAGAAAATTAAAATATGTTACAATAGGTGTTTGATTTTTAGTGTATGATTTGGGCTTTTTCTGGCTGTAAACTGGCAATCCTCCACCCCCTCCCAAGAGTATTTTAGGTGGCCAAGGTGAGAGACTTCTGGTGGTAAAGGTCAGGGGTTAGGAGCAGGACTTCCAGTCCCAAGATATTTAACTCGGGCCAGGGCAACTGTCAAGGGGTGGGGCTACCTTTGCAGCCCTCAAAATCTCACCAAACCTCATTAAGCAGCCTTCCACCTGAAATAATTGCCCACTCCTGTATTATGGCAAGAAGAGCTGAACTTAATAGCTGGCCCCTTGGCTCAATATTATTGTGCAGGAAATTCTTACTGAGGCTTTGAGCTCATTTTGAGTTTGAGTCCTTGAGGTCTTTGAATTCAAGTCCCTGAATAATGACTGCAGTAACTATGCATCCTACACTCACGTAATGATTGCCAGAAAACAAATTACTTGCTATTCTGTGATTGCTTCTCATTTCTTTACTGACCTTGTGGTAGTGATTTTTGTCACAGATGTATGTACATGTAAGCATTTTATGAAGTAAACCTCTCTGCATTTTTTCTTGCTTAACTGGAACATATAATAACATTATGTTTCCCTCATTTCTTCTGTAGAGGTGCTGAACTTTTCCAGGCCACAATTGTCAAAGCTGTCAAGGCCAGAATTGAAGAAGAGAAAAAATCAATGGACCAACTGAAGAGACAGTATGGAATCTCTTTCTCTTTTCTTCTTAATATTTCACTGACCAGTGATATTTCGTTTGCATTTGTCTAACTCTCTAGAACACTGATTCTCAAGCTTTCTAGATCCCTTTAACCCACCATAAGAACTGCAAAGTTGTCCATATGACCTCCAGAACTGGCAGTAGCATAATCAGAACTGGAAGTAGTGTGGTAGAGTATCTTAGTTTAGCATAAAATGTGCCATTCAGGTATATCTTAAATATCTTTTTGTACTGTACCTCCCAAACTGGAAGCTATACAGTTCTGTTCATGTGTCATTGCATCTGGCACAACTAGCCTGCCATCAGTGATGCACAAGGACAACTACACTGCTTCCCATTCAGAACAGAGTACTTTGAGCATGGCATACTGACACAAGACTGCCCACACTCAGCTGACTACCTTCCTCTGTCCAGCCTTCAGCAACATATGCTACATCTATGGACCACCAGTGGACCATGGGCCATGGGCTGAAAAACACTGCTCTAGATTACTTTTTCCTACTTTTGTCTACATCCCTGTGTGTTGTTTCAAGTGTTTTCATGTTGGCGTGTTTCCAAAAAATGAGTTCATGATTATAGAAATAATATATTTGATGCTAAGAGATCTTTTTATTGCATTACTCTGCAGCTGCAGAATCCATCCGCAGCTATGGAATTGTGCTCCAGAATTTAAGCATTCATGTAAAATTATCCCTTTCCGCACAGGGGTGACTGGTGCCTCCTGAGTCTGGGGAGGCACAATTTGTGTGCAGGTCCACTGGAGGGCCAAAAGCCCTATATCCACTCCTATACTTCTGTGCCACAGCTTGGTGCCCCACCCCCCCCACACACACCCCCCAGAGGCCTGCACAGCAAAAAAAACTGCCCCATTGGCACAGAGTCGGGGGCCAATCTCAGGGGAGGCATGTGCCCCCCCATACCCCGCCTGCTAGTCACCTGTGTTTAGTCATAATGATTATGTAGTTAGTGAACCTTATGAATATGAACCAAATATAAGCCAAGGCAGTATTGACTTCCTAAATCTGCAGAAAGCCAGAAATCTCTGCTATAAATAGCTGTTTTCTATAAATAAAGATAGCAAGTGTAAATCTCTCTACTCGTTGCTACATTTTTTTAACTTGTATATGTAATGAAGAAAACTTACATACTAACATTTTTGGCTGTTTCAGAGTTCATAATTTTAGCTAATATGACAGCATGAACTGTATCTTTAAGAGACTGTCTAGGTTTTAAAATTGTGTTTTTTCTGTATAAGATGCATTGTTTTCTTTTGCTTTGCATTTTTCTATGTTGTGTGATACAAGTTCAAGTAATATACAACAAGAGGGAAATAGTGTGCCCCGCATTTTCTTTCTTTTTTTGTTTGTTTTTTTGGCTAATCACTGCCTTGTTCTGTCTCTTCCCATCTCCCAGAAAATTAGGAAAGGGATAAATACTCAAATGAAAAATCCCTTTATGATACTAATGAAGGGGTAACCAGGCTATAAGCAGGAAAGTTCATGTTTTGGCCAACTCTGGCCAAGTTTTGCCAGAGGCACTGGTTGAACAGGCTAGCAAATGAGATGCAAGGGACAGGATAAAACCCAAAAAATTCAGCAGTAGGGGTTAGTTGGAGAAGCTCAGATTCACAGCTGATTTGTGAACCAAAAATTCACTGTGAACTGAAAGCACTGAGTGAAATCCTGGCACCACTGAAATCAATGGCAAAACTCATATGAATTTCAGGTTTTTCATTCTGGATGTCTTTATTCATAGTAGCACTTATTATACTGGAATTCTTTGTTTTGTTTGTAATTCTCTTTTCTCATTGAGGATTACTCTTTTCTATGACCTTGACTGAATTGCTTTTTCCAGCCCAACTCATCTGAAGAACCTTTTTCTTTATAAAGATAACCCAGTCACTCAGTTTCTGTTACATCCAGCTAATGTGCTTTTTTTCTTAATCCCCAACTGCCTTCAGTGCCTCCCCAAGTGCCAGAAGCCCTAACTGTTTCCTCCTCAGCTGTCAAAGCCTCAGTTGCCCTTCCCTTGACCTGTTCCCAACAGTCTCCTCCACACCTGCCTAATTGAGGTAATTACAAAACTTCCCTCTCTGGCCACTCTTCCCACATAAATCTTTTCCATGAGGCATATGTGCTATGGATGGTTCTGCTCTGCACTTGTATGAACTGCAGCTTGTATGAACAGCCAAGAAAGATATGCCTGTCCTGGAATTCATCATGGTTTGTTAATTCTGCAAAGACATGTTTAAGGTCAAGGTGCTGATATTACTTTATAATAATAACAACAACATAAATAGTATCAAAAAATCATGACTTTAAGTTTCAGGTATGTCAGACTTCAACAAAAGCAAAGTCAATGTGAGCTTGTTTTATTGTATTCAGTAATGCACATCAATACTTCATACTGTTTAGGGTAGATAGGATGCAAAAAACTGTCAACACAGCAGGGAATGTAGAACAACTAAGTCAGCTTGATTGACTGAGAGAAACTCTAGTGGTACTTCAACACTAGGACAAGGAATCTGTCCTTTCATTGGAATATAATAAAAATGTCCAGATGAATATATACGGTAGCTGTAGAGTTGGAATATAACTTTGTATCTTACAAATGGCCAGATTTATCACATGAAAAGTATAATGATAAAACTATGACACATTTAGGTCACTACAGTTTTTAATCCTATCAATTCTAAACTGGTCATTTAAGATGTAATTTCTTCTTATTATTGTTGTTCTATAAAATGTGGGTATTCAAGAGTCTGATACAAAAACTTAGGGGCCTACCAAAAAATTATTGTTGACTTCACTGGACTTTTGATCAACCCCTTACTGGAAACCAGATTGTTCTATAAGTCCACAAGAAGAGTCAACATACCTACTTCCCCCAGCCTTTGTATGCCATTGTTACAACTGGACAAAACTGGAGTTCTTTCACTTCTGCAGAACCTTTGGTGCATAGGAGGAAATATGTGACACCTTTGTCAGGCTGCAGAGCTAGATGCATACCTGCTGAGTGGGGGCAAACTTCAGAAGCAATTCTTTAGGATCTAGGTTCCCTTCAACAGAGCTCCACCTGGAGCAGCTAGTTCCACATGGCCCAAAACACAAAACTAAGCCTGTATGGCATAGCTGAGACCTCACTTCGTATAATCATGAAGTTTTCAATTTCTTGAACTAACAGTAGGCCAAAACTTATGGTCAATATTTTATCCTTGAGTAAAACATCCATGTGGAGTACACCAGCTGCAGAAGTTAAATGTTACAAGGCAGTTCCCAGTCTCCAGGCTGACTGAGTGCTCCATCTGCATAGCCCGCAGCCTCAGCCAGTCTCACAAGTGAGGCTCTGGACTTCCAGTGTAGTCCTGGTCTATGTGTTTATAAGGATGTATACACATGTGGTTGTGTATATATATATATGAGTGTACATGCATGTAAAAGCTAAAAAGCTATGCTTCCTTGTGGTTCCAAAAAAGTCAAGAACAGCATATGACAGTGTTATTCTCTTTGCTAGGATGGACCGCATCAAAGCCAGGCAACAGAAATATAAAAAGGGTAAAGAAAGAATGCTGAGTATGAATCAAGAATCAATAGAGGGACAAGACATTCAAAAAGTTTCTGAAGAAGATGATGAAGGTACCCCTAATTGTTACTGTGTCATCAATGTATTAGAAGTCAGAGCTCAGTGATAAGAACTCAGTAGGGCTAGTGTTTATTGCGTGTTGCTCAAGTAAGAAAGTGCACTGTACAATCATAATAAAACACTGACTCAACAAGTATTGTTAGTGGAATCTCACCATGTAGCTTGATTCAACTAAACAAGTATCTGGTTTTTGTACTACAGGAAGCTTTTGAGAAAATGATTTCTTTGATGTAAACAGACATGCTTTTTGTTTTCAACAAGGAGCTGAATAACAGAGATTTGTTTGGGAAATGGCTGTTTGAAACACTACAACAGACAGAGATTTACATTTTCCCAGGCACCTGTTCTTGGCTGCTGTAAATTTTTTTAAACCATTGAAATCCATGCATTTTTAAATATTATTCAAAGTACCATAATAGATAAAATATTCTTGACACTAAAATAGATAAAGTCATCCTGAAGTACCGTAGTTTTCAAGGGTATCTGATTTAGGATGAAAGTCACTGGATTAAAAATAATTGGGGGAGGGTTTTGAGGGGGCATGTATGTTTATTTTTCATGGAATGAACAAGTCATAACATGGTTTTTGCAGCTTGCAACAACTGATGTTATATTCTCCAGATATCAATTTCCATTAATCACTGATTAAATTAAATTTCCAAATATTTTTATGGCATTTACAAATGAATGCTGGGTAGACAATAAAATTATAACAAGTGACGAAATATAACTGGTGACTGTAACCTCTTCTTGTTTGATTTTTTTTAATCACTTTCATGGAAAATCCGTGAAAACCTTGAGTATGTAACAAATGTCTGAATGCTAATAATTTCTTTAAAATACACGTCAAAATATGCCAGGTTTTAAAGGAGGTATTTTTGAAATTGCAGATAAGTATAACATTTAAGTCTAAATATTTAAAAATCAACACTGTAAACTTTTATACTATATTTGTACTGAAATACTATTTTAATTATTGTTAGTGGGTTAGCATTTTGTGCTAACTCTTAATACACAGGTATTTTTTTCTGAATATGTTTAGAAGACCTAGCATCTGACATGATTTTGCAGTTTAGATCTATTAAGAAAGATAACAAGTGATTAAACAAAGTGTAAGAAACATGTCTCTCATTCTGTAAAATTAATATATGGCCATATTTTATTTTAGGAGAAGCAGACAAAGAGAAAGCCAAGGGCAAAAAAAAGCTGTGGTGGCGGCCTTGGGTTGATCATGCTTCCAGTAGGTTTTCCTAATCATTTTACAAATACAAAGGATTTAACCCTTATATCCTTGACCAGAATGAAGGCATTCCCATGGCCTGTTTGTTTTATGCATGGTTTTATGATTGTGACTTGATAGAATACTTGATTGTATGAATCTATTACTTCAACCTTGAACTGTAAGGGACCCAATTAATAGTACTGTGCATTTGCACGTAACATGAATCTAGACGCTTCTAAGAGTTTGCAGTACTGTCCGGTCAGACAAAACCAGGAAGCAAAATAATCTATCACAGATACAAAGTCAGGCATTGTATTATAAAGGGTATCAGCTATTTGTCAAATATCAGAAAAATATCTATTTTGTCAGTGTATAGCACTGATTAGAATGCAAGATTAAAATTAAATATTTGAAAAACTTTTAAATGATCACTTTATATCCCTAAAGTTGCTTATTAGACACCACAATCAAATTTCACATTCCACATGTCTAATTCTCTGTATTTTACTCAGTATTTTACAACATAGTGAACGTTTATTTTTATCAAGTCACAAGTAAACTGTGCCTATATCTTTCTTTTTCTAAAGGGCATAATGCTACTTTAGAGAGACCTATCCTTTTTCAAAAGTTTTGTGAGACAAGCTCATTGTTATTCTAGTTTCATTTAAAACAACAGTAAGGAAATAAGTCCCAACTACAATTAGAAATTTTTTTTTTTAATTTCAATTTCAGGCTACAGTCATTTGGGAAGGAATTGGATATGGTCTCTTGTTACTCCTCATACCATTTTTTTAGTAAACAGAACTGCCCAGAGAGAGGCATTTGACTTTGGCTCTTTCCAGTTTGTTTCACCCTCATTATATAAAGTTCTTAGGGAACAACATGCATTTTGGTATTTAAACAGTGAGCATTATTTAAATTAATTATTGCAATAATGCAAAAACTTGTGGAAAGCATCACAGCACTGATGACCTTCTTTTGAGTTTCCTACCACATCCATAGGGAAAAAGGGTTTACCCAAAAGAAATAAGCAGTGTAGAACTTACTGAGTGAATGTTCATAGACTCAGAAAGTGAATATACACAGAAAAGCTTTTCTTCTCCCTTAAAGGTATACCATTGTGAAATGCTCCATAATATTTTTGTGGCATCTTTTTGTAGAAAGCTAAAGATATTTCTGAAGGAAAATGTGAAAAAAAACCTCTTCATTTTGTAAGAAGTATTGGTTTGTGTTTGTTGGTTGTGTTTACACTGGTAGGGAACTGAGTTACTGGAGTTTGATGCATTAGCCAGTTAAGTCAGTTCTGATATTTGCTACTTTGGACTATTTTGCCTTTTTATTTCTTTTATCTCTTTTATTTTCTTTAGTTTCAGTTGTTCTGCACTTAAATATATTTTGAAATTACAATATATTTATGCTTTGGATTTGATCCCACTATGAGAAGAGTGTGGGAAACATTCATAAGGTTTTTTGCATTGGCCTCTCTCCCATATAGTTCCTTCATTGGAAACAGGGCTCCTCCAGTCCTTTGGAACAGGCCTTTGAACCTCCATGAAAATCAGCAAGAATCAGAGTCAACAAGAATCCCTTGCTCAGAGTCTTTCTGCTTGTAATAATTCTGCTCTAATGAAGAGGTTCAGGCAGAGCTCTTGGTCCTTAGATCCCTGTACCTGCCAGCTCTCTCCTCCTTCAGACATACCCAGATTAGAAGAGAGTCCACTATGAGTGTCAAGAAAAAAAGGAATGCTGCCCTACAGCTTACTTGCACCATGAAAAGGGGGAGGATCTGTGAGTAGATTCAGTGTGGCCAGGATTTCAGTAAGCCTCTTAGATGGCTGACTTTGCACCCTGTTCCATTCCGATGTGTATCTGTGAGAGTGCATTATTGCTGTTCAATCATACCTTCCTTTCTGCTTATTTTGTAGCATTGTTAGAGGACTGTATTGTTAAGTTATAGTGTCCCTTCAGAAATATTGGAATGAAAAGCTTGGAGACAGACTGCCAGTCTACATGTGTGATTGTAGAGCATTCTTGGGGCTCTGATGGGCATTTAGATACTACTATAGTACAAATACGTGGCAATAGATTATACTGCTCAGTGCCCAAGATACAGTAGACCTCATCCTGCTGATCTTTCGTAGAGATAACTTCCATTGACAACAATTGGAATTTTTCCTGAAGAAGTGCTGTAGATTAGAGAGGCTTTTCAAGTATAAATCTTCCTGCGAGTTTTCAGGGTTTTTACATATATTTGCTGTGGATATACTTAGAGGGGCACATGTGGAATATTTTAAGCGTATTTGAATGTTTTTCTCTTATTAGATTTTTTTTTTATCTTTAATCAGATACATTCAAGTGGATTATTAGGGCAAATCTACATTTACTCTGGGCCATATCTCTGGATGCTGTCATGAATCTTACCCTGACCACTTGCTTCTGCTCCATGCATGGCTGAAAGTAAGGCAACAGAGCCACCACCTTAACATGATGTTGAGTGCACCCAGCATGTTCTGAAGTCCTGTATCTTGGGTCAGCTTCATGGCTTTCACACAGCACTGTTCTAAGGTCATGGCATTGCCTTATTTCCAGGATTCGATGGGAGCAATTGTGTGGGGCATGCTTCATGTTGGCTCTCCTAGGTGTGGTATGGAAGCAATGTGAACATAGCCTGCAGTCCACACAGGGTTGCACTGATGCAACGAGGGGGTTGCAGAGGGACAGATGCCCATGCAGATAGACACAGTTGCCTTTATTTTAATGTAATTTTACACAGGACACCTTATGTAGTCATCTTGTTTTTGGACAGAGCATTGGCAACTTCTACCTCAGGCATAAGCTGAAGCTTTTCATGGGATTAGTAGTGTTCAGATGATCAGAAAGAAATGTATAGAATTCAAGGTCTGATTGAATAGGATTGAAGCTATTGTCATTTTTCCAGAAGTTTTATAATGAGGGTTAAACATACAGTTTTTATATAAATTTATACTGCTCATATGTCCTTACTAAGTGACATTTAGTCCTTTAAATCTTTTAGCTTACATGCAGACATTACTTTACCAGTCTTCACTGCCAAATGTAATGCTGTGACTTTGATTTTTCTCTTGCTCTTTGCCTAAGTTTTTATTTTTTCCCTTGTTCATTCATGTAGGCCTGTTATCTTTTAAGAAACAAAAACATTGCTTCTGTTCAAGGATATAAGGCCCAGTTCATTTACTCTGCATCTCTAATGTATCAAGGTTTCAGATTCTTTCTGAAACCATGGGCAAAAAATTAACCTCATTTGTGATCATGTTTAATAATATTCAAATGATTCATTTTAAACAAGCCAAGGTTTTCCATTACCTCATCAAAGTTTGAAAGCTGGGGGAAAAACAGTTAATACAATCCTATTGTGTAGCCTAAATGATGCATCAGCCCTTAAACTATGTTTCTCTCCTTTTTGTCCAGTGGTACAGCTTATATACTGCCATTTAGTTCCCTGCTGGACTTTTCTTATTATTATCAATCCTGGATATGTTAGGTTTAACTATCTGTCAAATTCCTCTAAAATTTTAAGATAACAACTTGCTCTAATTCAAGCTTTTTCTTTACATTTTGCCAGCCCATTTTCTTCTGATAGTGATGATTTATAAACTATAATGCACACTTTTTCTAGTTTTCATTCTGCCCAAAATGTCATGTATGCTAATACCAAATAATCTGTCTGGCACAGAGTCCTCTTTATCTCTTGTTTCTTCTGTTTCCACATCTCCTGCTCATGATCTCTTTAATAACTGGATGTTTGTTTATACATCTTTGGGGCAATTCAGAAAAAAGCTGCTATTTTTTCAAAAAATAAGCAGATATTTTATTTCACTTAGTGGTCAGAAGTGGAGATTATTATTTGTTTGAGACGGATAGTGAAGAAGAGGAGGAAGAGGAAAAAAAGGAAGAGGAAGAACCTCGGAAAAAATCCGCATTCCAGGTACAGTACTGAGGGTGTATATTCCATGCCAATCCAGTTACGTGGTTGGCACTTGAACTTGTTCCTACAGAGAGAATTAGAGGCAATGTCTAAGCTTCTCATGACATCATCACATAAAGTTTAAGCTCCCTGCAGCTTGTGTGTCTGAAGCTGATCTGAGATGTATGGAATATAAAGGTTCTTGCCAATTTAAAATACAGTGTTGCCTGCTGTTAACTTTGCCAAATTTCTGAAATGTAAAAACTGTAGTGGAATCGGATCTATGTTCACTTGTATATGAAAAGTACTAAAAAGAAGAAAAGCTTCCTTAACATAGACTTCATTTTTCTTTATTACAATAAAGGCAAGTGAGTTAGTTATCTAGTTTTTGGCATTGCTTCTGAATGCCTCTATGATTCTGCTTTGAAAAGTTACTGCTGGTCGATGTAATGGTCACTGTAATCAACACCTTTTCATAAAGGGGTTCCTTGCTTGCAAATTAAAGCTTATTTCTGAGTAGAGGTTAGGGATAAGAGATGTGTGTATCAGGAAAGTTTATTTCAAAGGAGAAAAGGATCTAGTAACTTAATGTTATTCTGCAAAACTGTATTATTCTTTTATTGTTAATAAAATAATGTAGAAGATCATGGTGAATCAGAAGGATGATTCAGGTGTGCAGAGATTAAAGGAAGCCAACTGAGGGCATAATATAGGCAGGTGCTGAGCACTGAGCCTGCATATGTAAAATTACAAATGTTTAAATCTTTATAGGAATGTTGCTGTATAAGGCCTGATTTTCAGAGATACCAAACACCTGATCCTGTGAAAAATTAAGTGCATTTGTAACTTATCATAGAATCAATGAGTCGGAAGGGACCTAGACAGATCATCTAGTCCGAGCCCCTGCCATGGGCAGGGAGGAGCACTGGGGGTGGCAGGGGTCATAAGACCCCAGCCAGGTGCCTATCCAGTCTCCTCTTGAAGATTTCCAGGGAAGGTGAGAGCACCACCTCTCTGGGAAGCCTATTCCAGGCTCTGGCCACCCTTACAGTGAAGTAGTTCTTCCTAACATCTAACCTAAACATATCCTCCCTCAGCTTGTGGCCATTGTTCCTAGTGACTCCAAGGGGGGCCCTAGTGAACAGACTTTCCCCGAGTCCCTGCTGGTGGCCCCAGATAAAGTTGTAGGCAGCCACAAGGTCCCCCCCCTCAGTCTCCTCTTACAACTTCATGTAAATGAGGATTCCTGTCCAGTTACATGCAGGCTTAAGACTTTGTAGAGACAGTGTTTTCTTATGCCATGCCTATACCTCTTCCATGCCACTCCTGCAAGCATTGCTGAGAAGTATACGTCCTTTTCTCCCTTCCGGGTCCCACTCTGTGTGTCCCAACTCTTGAAAATAAGGCTCTGTAGCACTCAAGCAGAAACGCTCTGTTCCATCTGCCTGCTGAGCCTCAGGCCATCACCTAAAAATAAACTCTTCCCACTTGCATGTCCAGGTTTGCATGTGGGAACTAAGGATGACATTTTTAAGAAGGTTGGCCCAGGCAGAAAAGTACATTTGCTTGTTAGTAGCTTGTTAATTGTTTGGTCAACACTCTGTATTCCACACAACCTAGAGCAAAAAAAATACTAACACTTTTAACATGACGTTTTTTCTAAATCCTTTTACAATTATTTTTAATTGCTGCTTTTTTTTAATGTAAATAGCCTTTTTTAACACTTACTTTTCATTGGATTGTAGCAATATCCTCCTCAGCTTCACCATCCACTGGGGTTTACATTTATTGACTAGATAAAATGTTTTACTTAATAAAAAGTATTATACATAATGGGTTAGTGCAAATATTCTAAAGGAAAGGTTGTGGTAAACAGCATGCATTGTCTTTGTGTCACATTGTTTGTATGTAAATGAATGTAAATCCTTTATTAACAGTCTAATCAGAAACACACAATGCATATCTTTTTATTAACAGTGTTCTTGTTTCTACTAACTGCTCTTGCATTGTCCTTCTTTATAGAGAGCTATTGGAAAATTTGCTTCAGCCATTTTAGCCTTGCCAAAGTCTGTCATTAAACTACCCAAAACTATTCTTCAGTATTTAATCAGAGCTGCAAAGGTATTTGACATTTCACAAATGTTCACTAGTATGTGAGCCCATTCCATAGCATTTTGGCATAATGCACACCACTGTGCTTGTCTGCATTTTTCCTCTTTTATGAACTTTATGAAGAGTTATAACAGTGAAAAGCTTTGTAAGTATTCAAAATTGTCAATAGAACTTTTGGAAGTAGCAAATATAGAAATAATGGTCTCTTATTTTAAGTGTGGTCTCAGAGAAAAAATGCAGAGCCAGATGCATTGGAAGAGGGTCCCATGAAGCTGCATGAAACTATAGCCTCTGTGGTATCATTCTCAGAAAGCTGGCAAGACCATAGGGTAATCTAACCAAGCAAATATTCCCTCCCAGATTCAGCTTTTAGTACTTTCCCCTGATGATCTAGATGATGATTAATCTGATTCGTGCTTCCTCAGCATTTTCATCTTCCTCAGATAAATTAAGCAATTTAACTGCTTAAGATTTTGAATTCCATATATATATCATGATACTTTGCAGTAAGCACTAAATGTATTTTTGATAAACTGTACCAGCTTCAGAACCTGCAAGTTCTTGCTTGGTAAGGGTTGTCCAATACTAAAATTCTAAAGCAAAATTACATATAATTTAACCAAGCCCAGGGTGAAATATCCCATTATTTACCGTGGGCTTTACTTATTTCATTTCTTTTATTTATGTTCTCACTGTCTCCCTTATTCTGGTTTGTCACTCATCTCTATGCTCTTCTTGGTATGCAGTTGATTGTAGATACAACAGGACTTCACCACAAGCTGTTCAATATTAGATTTTGACAGTGCTCAGTTTACAGTAATTTATGTAGCACATTAGAGCAACTGACCAGTATCTTCCTCCTTTATTATCAACTGTTACTTTAAAAGCAAAAGAAAATCCATTGCCTTCTAGGTCAGGGCGTTTTTCATATGGTACGTATATTGGACAATCCAGAGAAATACAGAAAAAAGCGCTTACTATAAAAGGATTTGAAAGAGGTCTTCTCCTGAGCTAACTTATTTCCTCGACAACTATGCACACTGACAAATCAGAATGAATATGAAAATTTTTCTCCTTCCAAATTTAGAAAAACAGTTTTTGACAATTTAAAAAAAAGATTGCACTTCTAATGATGAAGAATGACTTCTGTATATAAAAATGTACCCAACATTTATAAAGAAAAATAAAATTTACTATGTTATCACTTATAATGGATAATTTCAGCTTTCCTGAGACAGAGGTTTGTTCATGTAATTGTGTGCATGCTTGTCTTACAAACTGATGGAGCTCTTAGTCTGCTTTATTTAGTGCATGTATTTGCGTGCTCTCTGGCTACAGGTAGATGATTATGTTGACTAGAAATGAATAAGGATGTAAAAACAGTTGAAATTTTTTAAATGTTTTCAATGAAAAGCATAACAAGAACAAAAGTGCAACATCTTTTGCTTCAAGTTGCTGCAAAATAAATGTTAGTTTCTCTAGTTCCTGTTACTCACAGGTTATAAAAAGAATTAATACTCTGTCATTGTGGGGTTTTTTAATTGCTCATATGGGATCATAATTAAGTGCTATATCACTTAATAAACATTAGACCAACCCCTGGTTAGTTTATGTATATCAACAGACCTATTCATATGAGTATGGTAAGCAGGATTAAGCTCATTAACTATTAATTTCAGCCCCACAGAATCCCATTACCATAGGTAAGTCTTACTGGACACATCTACACAAGACATTTACTGCCTAACTAGCTCCATAATAAAGTCTCCATATCTACAGATGTGTCCCTATTAGACCACAGGAAACTAATTAACTCCACTGTAGGTTAATGGTTGTAAATACAAATACTATCCTACAGCAGAGTTATTTACTGCACAGCAACACATGTGTAGACACTGTCAGGGCTGGCTGGGGCACAAGGGTGGTACAATGTAGGGCTGCCTGCACACTGCCAGCCCCACAGCCTTGTGCCCCAGCCAGTCCCTCTTCAGCATGTTGAGCCAGGTTGGAGCCGCTGTGGGATGGCAGGCTGACCCCTGGGGCCCTGTGCCAGCTGGGGCTGCTCCGACCCAGCTCAACTTGCTGTGGTCCTGGGCACATGTGTTAAACATAGCGCCTGCGAGCAATAAGCTCTGGCATGATATGTGCTGGAGTTTATTACTTTGCATTAATTGCATGTGTAGATGTGCCTACTATCTACTAACAGGTGGAGAAACAGAAGCAGAAAACTTAAGCAAGGAAGAGAGCTGTTGTCAAAACCAAGAAGAACATGCAAGAATTCTTTGCTACTGATACCTGACTGCATTATAAGACCTCTGTAATATTCCATTGCAATATATGTGGGGGAAGGGGGAGAGGCAGTAGATGGGGGAAATTTCTTGAAGTATAAAAAGTTTACAGGCACAAATACAGTCCTGGAAAATTGCCATCTCTTTGTTGGTTTAGTTGGGTGATTATAACTCTTACAATTAGAATTTTTATTTCACAGCATCTTCATTTGCAATGCGGATCAAGTAGAAATATAAACTGTTTGGAAAGATTTAGATGAAGTGATCCATGTGCACAGCAATGTATTAATCCCCAAAGTTCAGAGCATGAATTTTTGTGGGTTCTTATGAAACTTGGTCCACCCACAAATGTTTTTACATTTGGTTTCACATTAATAAAAATAGCACGAGAAAGCTCAGCAGATCTTCAGGGGTGGTGTTTGGATTGGGATTCAAAATGTTTGCTTACCCCTGCAGATCTCAATGTGTTTGCCCTAAATATATATTCCTGTTTGTGGTTTACTTTACTGCTTACTTTCAAAATATGAAGAACCTTGAAATAAATGAGTTTGTTCTCTTCAGTTTGTTTATCAGGCCTGGATTACTGATCCCAAAACTGCCCTCCGACAGAGACGCAAAGAGAAGAAATGGTTTGGGAAGGCAGAGAAGCGGAGGCAAAAAGGACCTGGAGATGGTATATATGATCTTGGATTTTTCAAAACCATGCATCAACTTCCATCATTTCCCATGCTGCAAGCACCCAAAGTATCACAGAGATGATATTCTCAGTGCTGTTGAGGAAACAGGCCTCACAGAGATAATGTTCTCAGTCCTGTCGAGGGGACTTTGTGCTATTAATGAAGTGACTGCTAGTGGCTGGGTGGAGTTGAAAGCTGTGACTTGACAGAAAGTTTACTTTTGGCACTTTCCTGGATGACGTGGCAGACAATGCAGGCCTGTTATTGAAGTCACCCACAGTGGAAGGCTATTGATATGTTCTGTCAGTGCAGAGTAATACACATTAGGGGACGTCACAGGGAGAAGCAACAAGGTGACTGTTATGAAACATAACTAAGACATCCCAGGAAGAGTTAGTTAGGTTCAGGATGCTTGTTCATAAAAGGTCTTTTTGGGGTGTAATATTTAAAACTGCACAGAGAAGCTAACTAATGGGAAAGGTGTTCTATGACTGACAAATACCACTTGGGGGTGGGGAAAGTATTTTCCATTATTAAACTCTGTCTTGTTACAGTGTGTCACCCTGAATTTGGAAATATCAGTGGCTTCATTCATCAGAATAGATTCATTCCTTCTCAAAGTCCAGAATTAGCACACCTCTTGGAAATGGGTTTCTATTGCAGGCATTTGCTCATTCAGAATTTGGTTTCTGTAGAGATATAGGGTACAGACAGAAGTGCAGCTTCCTGCTGTAATTGAGAACACTTTGCAGAAAGCAATATGAGTTACGACAATCTCCTGGAACGAACAGAAGTTCACTGTTGGTTCCAGGGAGGAGGGGAATCTAGGCAGCTGGTTTCCCCTAGCAGTGATCCCTCCTCTCTCCCTGTTTCAGGATGGGATGGGGGAAAGGGAGCAGAGGTTGCTCATTCTAGGGGTTCCCCAGCTGGTTCTGGAGGGTGGGGGTGTGAATTGGAGCTCCTTCCCACCTGGGGGTGGGGAACTGGGCGGGGGCTCCACTATACCTACCCCACCCTCCAGCAGGGGCTGAAAAAACCCCAGACCAAACTCCCTCTGCTCCCTTTCCCCCCTCCCATTCTGAAAACAGCGACAGGCTGGTAGGCATTGCAGGCAGAAGTTACAGAAAATACTCTATTTTGAAACATCTTGTAAAAGTAATACATAAGTAAAACATTTTTACTTGATCGGTCATTTTTGAAGCTGTCTGCAGCCATACACTTGTGTTTGGTCATAGCTATAAATTGCTTTCTGTGGCCAGATTAGGCAAAAAATTGTCACTTCTGTCTGTGCCCTGGAGCTTGCTGTTTCTGTGAACATGTTTGCCAGTTAAAGTGCTTATGTATATTTAAATAGTCATCTAAATATAAATTATATAAATTATTCCATATCCATGTGGAGTAATAGATAGATCTACTTATATATGGAAAGGAAAAGACAACAGAAGTGCTAACACCTATCACATCAGAGCTAGACAGGAAATAGGTTTCCCATCCCATCATAGGTTTTCATGATTTCAGTGGCTTTTCTGTTCCTCATTGAGACAAAACTAAGAGCATTTGAAAGCCAGAGAGAGAGAGAGTGAGCCATTTCAGGAGGACTTATAGCCTAGTACTCTGAGTACCCATCCAGACTATAAGAGACATGGGTTCAAGTGCTTGGCCTGAATCAGGCAGAGCAAGTGCTCTAATACTGGTTTCTTGCATCCTGGGTAAGTGCCCTAACTACTGGGCTATTGGCTAGTTCGGGGCTGCAGAGAGACTCTTTGGCTCTCTCTCATCTTTGATTAGAAATATCATCTTTAGCAAAACTGATACATGCAAAAGTTTTATTTTTTATGAATCGACATTTTCTAATGGAAAAAAAAAAAACAACTCCCGGCTCTAGTTCAAATTAATCCATATAAAAGCTTGCATATTTTTGCTGCATTTGTCAAATGTGGATGTTCACTTTCATATAGTAGCAATTGAAGCTTTTCTTTTCAGACACAGAGGAAAGAAAAGGCATGTTTTTAAGTGTTCATGTAGAATGCTCCTTTATGATAGATCCAAATATTTCCAGCATCCCCAGTGAGTTTAGCAGACAGCAAAGAATGACCATTCACATTTAACATTCTTTTATTTGCACCACAAAAGTGTTCATGTCTCTGTAATGTTTTGTTCATAAGCTTCTTCCTAATCTTGAGGGGTTTCTGAATTTAAAACCAACAGAGAAAAATACTTATTAGAAGTTTTATTTGCCAGTTCTAGAGGCTGAAACAGTTTTGCTAAAAGTCCCTGTATTCTGTTAAAAGGAGGGAACATTTTAACTCTTTGTCACTGAAACTACAATTGCTGTGTTAATGTATTAGCTAAGATGCTGGTCAGATGCTTTTCCAAAGGCCTAGGTATGGCTGTGATTTCTTTTATCTATGTTAAAATTAATTTTCCATTTAGAACACATGGTGGATTCAAAACTACCCTTACGCTTTGTTTCAGCCTGTCAAGTGCCTCATTATGCTGTTGTATCCTCAATCAGCATGGAAATATTTGAGCTTAATAAATGATGCAGAAGTCAGTTAAAAAATTGGACAAACAGGTTAAAATTTCCAGAGGACTACCAAGTAAACTTTAAAGGCTATATCCTTAGTCAATATAAGGCCAAATAACTATTGAAATAAGTGGAGAGGCACCGATTTATACCATCTGGGGATTGTTTCTCAGTCATAATTAATCATAGGAAATGTTATTATAAACAATTAACTAAGTGTTCTATTAAGGCAGGATAAATTCAAGCACTTCTGTTTAAATAGCCATGAAATCCCTCTTCACCTTCAGTATAATTTACATTTAAACCTATATAGAATGGCTTTTAACAATTGCTTTGAATATTAATTTGGCAGCTGTTATTGACGTGGATTATGAAGACAGAGAAGAGGAACCTGTCAAAAAGAAATCAGACGGACCAGGTATGCTGGCAGAAAGGAGGTTGCTCCGATATTTTGCTGTGGTAAATGGCATAAACCCATGGTTATTGTGCAAGTGACTTAGTGTCAGCATATAAGCAAGAGGACTTGCTACAAAAAAAATAAGTATTACCAGAACTGGAGGGAAATAGTTGTGAAAGGCTATAGGTAACAGCTTGAATCAATTTCAAAGTGCCAAGCACCCACTTGAAGTCGATGGGACAGCAATGAGGAGAGAACATTCTCATTACCTCACTGCATGTGACCCTTTAAGCAGTCTAGCAGAATAGCAGTCTTCCATGGAAATAAATGTTTCCCTTTTTGAAAATGTTTAGATGTAATCGATCCCCAAAAGATTGTTTTTAAAACAATGGCAGAGAACAACAAAGCTACCAGAACAACCACAGCTTCATTAATATTGTATACTGAATGACTTCCACCCCTAAGAGAAAAATGACCTTCTAGATTAGGCTAGAACTCAATGGCAAGGCGTTGTGGTGAGACCATCAGATACCATTAGCTGCCAAACAGTATAAGTAGACTGCGGCTTTCAAGTAAGCAGACAGCTGCTACTCCATTAATTCAACAGCACAAATCATCTGCCATTGTGTGGGGGTGTTTAAACTAAACCTCTTTGTGGACTGTTCATTTATATACTATATATCTATGCACATGTATGTATTAGATTTTCTTTTAAACTGTGCATATGAGTACATTTGAAACATAGAGAAAGTGTGGTGCTAAGAGGGAAAAATCATAGCTTTTTCCTTTAACTCACGGTGCCAAGATTTTGGTTAACCCAGAGACCAATACCTTAAAGTATATATGAATAATACTTTAGTAAGTGAACTATGAAATCCTTCAAAAATCCAGTAATACAGAAAAAGACTGAGGAAAGTGCAAAAACAATTGATATAATGATGTTAGCAAAAAAGAATGGAAGTAAATGCAATCACAGTCAAAGACAGTGGGAACAGCACCTTGGATTAGAAACACCTCAGATAATGTTTTTGTCATTTTAAAAACTATTTGGCATGATATTGTCATTGGTGTTGCTGCTCTTGTTTTAATATTAGTGTTTTGTTTTGTTTTTAAATTTTTGTTTATTAATTTGTTAGTGCCCAACTTTTACTTGCTGTTTAAAACCAGGCACACCCCAAGGCATTGAGTGACATCTGCTGGTGAAACTCAGTAAATATAAACACTTTAGCTGAACGTTACAGTGTCTCTACGACACTGGTTTTCAACCTGTGGTTCATGGACCCATGGGGAGTCCACAGATTATGTATAAGGGGCCCATGAAAGATGACTACGATCAATCAAAAGTATGTGAATACCCACACTTACAGTTCAAAGGAGTCCACACCTCCATTTGCAGGTTCCAAAGGGGTCCACACCTTCATTCAACATTTTTTAGGGGTCCACAAATGATAAAAGGTTGAAAACCACTGCTGTAAAATGTTCTGTAAAATCTTGGGTCCCTATCTATGGTGCTTAGTGATTGGGAAACCTAACAGAGGGGTGGATACTGCTTCAAACAGAGGACTATGTCTGTTTGTGATGATAGAGGGAAATTAGGTCTAAATTTTATTTTTAACTTGAATTCACACAGAGAAGAGCTAATGTGAAAAAAATACTACTAGTAATGCTAATACTAATTCAGATTTCCATCAGTAGGCTAATAAAAACAAATCCAACTAAAACTACTGTTGTGTGTTTAGAGACAGTGGTTTTTACACACTTTTTGATCTGCATCTTACAAAATGTACTGGTTTTTTTATTTTAGAAAATACACACACACACATCCACAATGTTTAATTAATTGAGCTCTTTATGCAGCTGCACACATGCACAGTTTAGCTGCATAAAGATCACAACTAGTTAAACATTTTGAGAGTAGGAGCAAACATACTACACAGTTCAATAGATGTTAGAGACATGTGTGAGTGAAACATTTATAAGAGGCTATTGAAATGGTGAACATAAAGAGGTAAAGAGTTGGAGTAATGTTGCCCAGATACTTGAGTACCTAGGCAGGTTAAAGAGACAAGTTCATCCTTAGAAAACTCCCAGTGGAAAAGTAGAACTGGCTAGGATAAACTCCATTGCACAGAGGAACATTTATGTGAGCAGGAGTGGATCCAAGGGGGTGCAGTGGCATAGTCACATCCCCACTTCCACAATGTAGGTGAGGTGTCCACTGCTCCAGTTTCTCTCAGGCCCAATGTCTGGGCCCCCAGTGGAGTCTGAGACATAGCTGGAGCTCCAGGCTGGCAGGGGATTCCCAGGGGCCCAAGCCAGGAACATAGCAGGGGGACACACTCACTGCCACCACTGTCCCCCGCTGGCCAGGAGCAGGGGAAGCCCTGGGCTTGCCCTGTGCCTCGCTTCAGCCAGGGGCTGCAGGGGGTGACGTGCCTGGCAACAGTGGTGATGGGTGAGTCTCTGCTCCCTCCCCTTCCACCACATTTCTGCTGGCCCAGGGTTTCCAGCTATGGGGAGCAGCTGTGCAAGGTGCTGGGATGGGCAAGGCTGGGGACAGAGGTGCTGGGCAGTTCCCCATTTCAGCACTTGCTTCTAGCCAGTAGGTGACACCTGGGGGGACTCAACCAAAGCACATGGGGAAGCAACCACTGTTGCCACTGTCCCTGGCCAAGCCCAGCATGCCATACTGTCACTCATAGAGGCCCCTAGCTGGAGCAAGGCAAGAGCAGCCCTGGTGCTTTCCCAACCCCTGGGTAAGCTGTGCGCAGCAGCAGTGGGTCCCCCCTTCCTGAGCCAGGTGGTAAACCCAAGGCAAACCCTTCTGGAATAGGAGAGAGGGGAATGGGATGGGGGAAGATGCAGGCACTGGAAGGGAAGAGTTGCCAAGAATTGGGGAGGGAGGAAGTATAACCTACTTTGGGGCCCCCTGTTTTGGGGCCACATACAATCTGCCTGCTGAGGGGTGGGGGCTTTTAGCCACCCCTTTGCCACTGGTTGCATTTTCTGCAGCCCCATTTTCAAATTCCTAGATCCGCCCATGTATGTGTGGGATGGTCTTGGGGCTTGGCTTTGCACTCTCTTACTTGCATAAATAGTTACTGAGGACTCTTACTTGAGTAATGAATGGTTGCAAGATCAAGATCATAGAGAGAAAGAGGTATGCCAGACTATGAACAAAGATAGAAAAGCATGTAGGAAATGCCCAAATAAGCCAGATGGTCTCCAACCATTTCTAAATACTCCTGTTATATATATAATAATACTGACATAGAAAGGTCTTGCAGGCTGGATTATTGTTACTAGCATTATTGAATAAAGTGTAAGTTAAACAAGTGTCATATTAGGAATATAGTATTAGTGAAAAAGTCTATGTTCATTAACTCTGTATCACTTTACCCCCTTCCAGATAATATCATCAAAAGAATATTTAATATTTTGAAGTTTACTTGGGTCCTTTTTCTGGCAACGTTAGACAGTTTTACAGCTTGGCTGAACTCTATTTCAAGAGAGCATATTGATATCTCTACAGTACTGAGAATTGAACGATGTATGTTGACCAGGGAAATTAAAAAGGTAATGCACTGACTCCTTTTCATCACTCATATCATTCATATTCCAGTGATAAATGAGAAAATTATCTTTTCACATCTGCTGGAGTTGGTATAATAGAAATGGAAACTTATCAGTCTTGTTCATATGGATTTACAGAATTGTATTCACTCTGTAATTCACTCTTTTTTCTGATAAGTCATTAGAACCATTGCTCTAGGCATCTGAGTGGGGAAAGAAAATGTTTGGGAAGATTGACAATCCTAGAGCACAGAGCTCTAGGATTTAGCTCTGAAACTCCCACCAGACAGTGTGAGTTTAGCAGACATTGAAGAATCAAGTCAGGACAGAGTAAAACATGGTTCTTTTCTAAGAATCCCAGAGTTAAGTTCAGTCTGAATCTACTCCAACTTTTGGAAATGCAGCTTATGTTGGTATCATTAAAAGTATGTATTAACATTCTTCTTCCTGGATATGCATCAGACCATCTCATTTATACTACCATATTAGTAATATAATATCCATTATCAAAGCATAGTGTAAAATACTGACTTTATTAGGGTCAAATTGACAAAGACAGATATGTAAAGATGCAGATAGGAATCCAGGGACTCACAGAAGCAAGGTAGGTTAGGTACCTAAGTCCCACAGGCCTCAATAGAAGTTAATCACCAAGCCTGCTTAGGCACTTACATAAATCTCACTAGGCATCTAAATACCTTTGTAAATCTGGCATGTAGATCTATACTTTAGTTTAGGGGTTGAGGTTTTTTCCTATCTTTGAAGGATATTTATTAACCTCCAGCACCCTTCTAAATCTGGAGAAAATTGCAAACAATGGGGTTAACTCATTAGTCATCTTGACAATATCACTGTGCCAAACCACAAGAGTCTGCTTGTGTACCTGAAAGAAACACATGAGCAGGCTGCATACGAGGCATGATTCCAAAGATAGTTGGTCCCGAACAAAAAATAAACTTATACTCCTCTGTAGATGGGAAGTACAGAGCTCGTAAGAGACCTGGGTGTACCTTGATGCATTTTTGCTGTGTCTGCGAAAAAATTATAGCACTCCTAGAATCCCAGCACAATTTCCATACAGTTGGGAGAGCAAGTGACTGGTGTGGTAATAGTTAGGCAACAACATAAACTCAAGCAATTTGGGGGCTAAGGGAGTCTCTCTGAGGTGATGCTGTTTTGCCTCAGTGATCCCCAACCTAGCTGACAGTTCTGTTTTAGGGCTGTAAGCCACAGGGAATTTCCCTGGGCCAGGTAGCTCCTGTATTTCCTCTCTGTATTCACTGAGGAATAACCTGATATTGTGTCCTAGCTCTTACAGTCATAGAAACAGTTCCAGAGTGCTTTAGTTTTCACATCTGTTCTAGTTTATTTGGGTCCACAAAAAAGCAATAATGCCGAATGTGTGGCATTATTTAATTTAGCAACAGGCTGTATTGTCACAAATGCTTGATTATAACATTAGTGTATAAGCAGCAGATTGTGGAGAAGGGTGGCATTGGCTTTACTCAAAACTTTCTTAAATTCCTTGAGTTTTGATGAAAATGTTATGGTAATCAGTATCCAAATTTCACATTTTGAAAATTTTTTAACTCCTTCTAGTTTAGTGGAAGAGAGCTGAAACAAGGAATTATGCTATTTAAGGGAATACAGAATATTTTAGGCATCTTTTTAAATAATGTATTGTTAACAGTTTCCAGTACAGCAGTAAATCTCTACCTAGAAGTCTGAAAAATTGACTGTGCTACTCCATGTTTCTTCTGAAGCCAGTACAACTATTGGTGGAATAAGCTGTATCCTGTTCTGCCTTAGGACACTTCCATAACATTTTCAGCAACATTCTTATGCAGATCTTTATTTTACTGACAATAATATCATGGCCAGAAAGAACTCTCCTTGACTCCCATGCTCAGGGTTTGTTGACAGTTAACAAAAGCATTCCCTTGGGGGAAAAAAAATTCTTTGAGAGACAATAAATATTGATGCCGACAATGTTTTTTTCACATTTTTCTGACTGTGACTATACATTATCAACAAATGTATATCTCAGTTATACATGAATGGAGATCATAAGTACCCTCAATACAGTTTTATGGCACTGGACATGAGATCAGATTTTGACTCTCATTTGAAGAAAAGTTGGAGAAAACTTGTCTTTTTGCCAGTTTGTTGTTTGCAGGATCCCTTAAGGGCTCATTTCCAAATAACTAAAGAAACTAGGACCTCACCAAAGCCAAAACCTTATCTATATCTTTTCCCACCTACCTAGGGGAATGTTCCAACTCGTGAGAGTATCCACATGTATTACCAGAACCATATGATGAACCTTTCTAAAGAATCAGGACTGGACACAATTGATGAAGATGCTGGTCAAGCTTCTGGTCTAGAGGCATCTGAGAGGATGGATAGTTTAGATTCAGCAGCTTCACGTGACAGTATTTCCAGGTATTTGTTAAAAAAGTACTCTGGTATTTTTGCAAAAGAGAAAAATCATGCAGTAGAATTAATTTTGGTAAATTGTTTTGTAATGCTGGACTTGACTCTTTGATTTATCAGTGACAATACAGTAGATAAAAAGTGAATTTTCTCTTGCTTTTGACTGTAATCATCTTTCCTGCAGAGCAGTGAGGGGCTTTAAGATTTCTGCAGAGCAGGAAGGGGCATCTGACTTAACTTTTTTTCCTCTAAGCCATTACTTTTTATTTCCTTTTGAATTAATCCTAAATGACAAATTTCCATAAGGCTTTTGGTCTTACAGAAATTAAAAGCATTTTATATCTGTGTGGGTAGATACTTGTATGATATTTTGCTATATGAAAATAAGCTTTGAGTCAAGGAATGTCATCATTTTTTACACAGATCTTGTTCATGGAACATGAAGTTGTTATCTCTTGCACATAACCTGCATAAACAGCTTTGCATCAGGAAACCGTAGTGCTTTGAGCAAATGGAATCTTTCTCCACAAATGTGGAGAAAGAGCCAAATAGCACTTTCCTTCATTCCCATGCTTATAGTCCAGTAATCTGTGCAGTTTTTGTATCTACCATTTGTGCCCCTAACATTTGTGTAGGAAACACACCTTCCCCCTGCACACTCCTCTGGAAAACTGCTGTAGAATTCAGTACCAAACTGTCTATATGTACTCAGCTGTTTCTCTCACACACGCACATAGAGGCTCCCACTTACTCACTTCCTCCTGATCCAGAAACATCCTGTTTTACTGAGCCCAGTACATTCTTTACCTCTGAGTAGCCATGGAAGCTGTCCTATAGTGTCAAAAGGGAGAGGGAAGCTTTGAATTACAGCTATTTCCTAATCCGATTGTTGCCTTCTGCTGTTTTCTAGTCTTCTGTGAAGTATGGCAGTATCAACTCACACTTGATACTCCCTGCAGACTCCATTGCTTGTGTATACAGTAAACTATGCTCAGCTTTTACTAATGACATATGGTTAGAGGTTAACAAGTTAAAAATAATAGGGGCTTGTTTTTCTTTCCAAGGTTATTCAAAAGCAAATGTGACTGAGAGTCTCTGCTTATCTCAGATACATAAATCTGAGTGCAGTACATGAGTCAAATATCCACAAAATGTTCCTACATTATTCCACTGACTGTAAAACAATCCCTATACACAGTCAGTGGTGTACTGCTATCAAATCTTCAACATTTCCTGTTACAGCACACATTTCCCAGTAGCTAACTACCAACCCATGTGAAATGTTCACCTTTTCTCCAAAAGTTAACCAGGCACTGACTACAGAGGAAAAAATAATAAAGTCAAATTCTATGCTCAGTTTTATGTAGCACCTGTTGACTTCAACTGCAGTCATGTATGCATACCTGAAGGGGAGAATGTAGCTCATAGGATTTACTTAGCTGCGCTTTTAAAAAGAAAAGTTATGTAGGTACAAAGTCATTCCCATTAAAAGAAAATTCAGTCTTATTATTCAATAAGAGGAGAAATCAGAATCAATTATAGAGCAGAATGTAGTAGCAATATATTAGTGTTAGCTAACATGGTTTCAAAACTTAAAGCTTGTTCTTATTGCATAGGGAGTGTAATTTTACTTTATAAAAGGACACAGGTTCCAAATATATATTAATAATGTAACTGTTGTGAACCCAATACCTAAATGACTTTTTTTTGGTAAAATTGTATCCTCTGTTCTGGTTCAATAATTTCTTTTTTGAAATTGCCCTGGTCTACAGTTATTCTGCTAAACCAGTCATCTTGGGCAACAGGATAAATCATACCTATTTTAATAGCTGTTTTATGCTCACTAATGAGATCTCCTGAAAACTCTCAAAATAAGATAACACAAGGATACATTAGCAAAGGAGAAACAAAATGCATTCACAATTGAGTTTTCTAAGTGCAAATTTTTCCCTGAATGAATACTTAAGTACTTTTATATCAGTAATATCTGTAGATGGTAAACATCTGTTGCAATAATAATGACCTTTGATTAAAGGAAGCAATAACCAGTCACTTAGGGTACAGACTGATGTCACAGCCATATTGATCTCAAATTATACCAGTGTAGGCTACTACCATGCACATGCACATATGCACGTGCTTCTGTGGCAGTACAAACATAGCAAAATGGTTACATGTTTCCTTCAGGGATAAAATTAGTGATTTATCTAAGTTGTATTGCTTTGGGAACCTGCAGTTATAACAGTTATAGTGTAGCAGCTGATACATGCTCCTGAATTATCAGCTCACCTTCCCCTTTTAAAAGCTTAACAGATACATTTATTCATAGCTTTAGACTTCCCTGCACTAGAGCTAATGATAGCTCTTCTTTCTGTTTATAAGGGTACCTCTACCACTTCCTGGGATTGTGAAGAGCTCTTGTGTGCTGTTTTAAGGCAATGAAGTTCTGTAACTCACAATGTATCAATTCTTTGAATAACCCAAATGACAAAAGAGCACTGACATTCAAGGAAATGACTGATGGACAAGCCCTTATAAATATATTAAACAAACATACTTACCTTGAGAATAAATTTCTTTTACAAACAAGCAAGGTAATGATTGAATCTAAATCATCCATTGGACCTGGACAGGTTACAGAGGTGGGCTGATGAGAATAAGATGGAATTCAACACTGGCAAGTGCAAGGTGCTGCACCTGGGGAGGAAGAACCAGCAGCATACCTACAAGCTAGGGAACTCCCTTCTTGTCAGTGCAGAGGCAGAAAAGGATCTTGGAGTCATAATAGACTCGAAGATGAACATGGGCCGCCAGTGTGGGGAAGCAGTCAGGAAGGCTAATCATACCTTGTCATGCATCCACAGATGCATCACAAGCAGGTCCAAGGAGGTGATCCTCCCCCTCTATGTGACACTGGTCAGGCCGCAGTTGAAGTAGTGTGTCCAGTTCTGGGTGCCAGACTTCAGGAGGGATGTGGACAACATCAAGAGGGTCCAGAGGAGGGCCACCCACATGATCAGGGGGCAGCAAGGCAGACCCTACGAGGGGCGGCTATAAGACCTGAACCTGTTCAGCCTCCACAAGAGAAGGCTGAGAGACCTGGTGGCCTTCTATAAACTGGCCAAGGGAGACCAGCAGGCAATGGGAGAGTCCCTGTTCCCTCAAGCACTACTGGGAGTAACGAGGAATAACGGCCATAAATTGACTGAGAGTAGATTCAGATTAGACATCAGGAGGCACTACTTCACGGTCAGGGCAGCTAGGATCTGGCACCAACTTCTAAGGGAAGTGGTGCTCACTTCTACCCTGGGGGTCTTCAAAATGAGGCTAGATAGACACCTTGCTGGGGTCATTTGACCCCAGCACTCTTTCCTGCCCATGGCAGGGGGTCGGACTTGATGATCTGCTCAGGTCCTTTCTGACCCTACCAACTATGAAATTATGAAACTATCCCTCAGCTCACAACTCCAAGTCTGCAGTGAAAAAAGGGCAGTCACCTCTTACAAAGAGGGATGAAACCATCACTGCAGTTGTCTTCTCCTCCTTTTTGTGCCCCTACAGAAACCCTTTCAGTGGGTATCAGGATATCAGCCTAAGGTGGCTGTGTATGAGATGTAAAAGATCAGGGCTGGATGTTATCATCTTCTACACAGCACCTCAGGCATTCCTCAGTCATTAGGTCAGCATTTTCTATAGCTAAGTAAAAAGACGGGTAGGTCTCTCTTGTGTGCTCTAAGCTCATTTCCTAAAGGAGGTTTCCATGGTTTATTGCAGGACTAGGAACACCACAAGGAGCCACCATTATTACTTAAACATCTTTGCATATCCTGGAAAGTATGTAGTTTTAAAACTGAACTTTCATAGTCATCAGTAGGAAGATTGTTCCCACCATAAGCGAGCAGTTCTTTGGAAATTCTAAGAATCTTCCAAAGTATTCTATACCACTTTTCTTATATAGGAAAAAGGTTTTTAATTACTTGCTGTCCCTTTTTTCCCCCCGCTCTGATTAAAACTATAATGCAGAAGTCCTAATCCAGTGTGTAATGTATCGATTTCATATAAAGATAACTTTTTGGAGAAGTTAAAATATTTGAATGTTTAGAATATTATCATGGGCTTGTGCAGTGCTGTAACTGGTGGAACAAGTTTCATGCTATATTACTTCAAAAGCTTCATACAGTATTTCACCAAATTATGCATATGTTCCTTTGCTAATTTTTTCCTTCACCAAGTATAGGACTACTCCTACATGAAAGGGACAGTGGGCATGTCTACATGTGAGCTTTCATGCACAGTAACGTATTTTACTGCACACTAAAGCATCATTTAAAAAGCATGCACTTTTGCTACTGTGCAGTAAGACAGCCTAATTAGTACGTCACATTAGAGGGCATTTTCACAAATGCTCCAAAGGGCAGGGGGAGGGGGCAGCACTTTAATTAGAGCTGCTCTCAGAACCACTCTTTAAAGCGCTGCCATGTCTCCTGTTTCAGTGTCCCCACACTTGAAAATAGTGGTTGGGGCACTAGAACTAAAGTTTGTTTAACATGTGTTAGTTCAAGCACCCCCACCACCATTTTTAAGTGTGGGAATACTGATACACAAGATGCGGGAGGCTGCTGGGGCATAGAAATTGCCATGATCCAGCAGACTCGGTTAATCAAGTCTGCTCTGATGCACTGGAATTCCAGCATGTTAGAGCAGCCTCAGTGCTCATGTATAGGCACCCAGAGGTGCATTAGGAAAAGCACATTAATGATATGTTTAAGTTGGTCTGATCTTTAGCTAGTCCTGGTCACATACTTTACATACTATGTAGTTAATAAATCCTATTTTATGGACTTTACTAGGATGTATGTGGTTGATCTTGTTTAGCGCATAGATACTTCTAACTGAACTGAAAGTCCTTGGATCCTACAGTTTTTACTTAGGCAAGTGACCAGGGGTGATTTGCCTATTTTTTGGACAAGGAAACTCAGCAGGTATACTTTAAAGTATCATGCACCAAAACGTCTGGCTGTTTGTTATAGAAGTCCTGTATTAACATTATTGTTTTCATTGTTTTTAATCTGTTTTACATATTTGGCATTCCTCCAGGCAGAAATGTTAGCTGATAGCATTGAAACTACTAAATACAAACTTACCAAGACATATGCAGTGAAACTTAGTACAGAAGAAATAAAAAGACATTTTTTGCCCCAGTATACAACCGGTTCTTTAATGTACCCAACAAAAGAGATTTGAAGCCAGCATCACAATTAGCTTATTGTTATTGTCTCCAGTTAACTGATGAACTGCTTAGAAGAACCAAATAGCTCAGGAGTTTGGTAAAAGGACTAGACAAGTATACACACCACAAAGGAATAGACAGCAAAACCCTAGCCTCATCAAATGCAACGTCCTTCAGAGTTGAGATTTTACCTCTTGTGTCCTAGATTATATGCTCCTCACCATCCCAGATTCTCCAAATTCTGCAGTATATTCCTGAGCCTACAGGCATAATCCTGTGCAGCTCTTAAAATCTGGAAGGATCCTGATTAGCTGCTAAATATATTTTCTTTTGATGACTTCTCTGTTCTTGCTTTAAACACCTATTTAACCAACTTATTATAGCACCTAACTGTAGGCCAAATTTCACACACTGTAATCAGTAGATGTTTCGCCATTGATTTTAGGAGTTGGATCAAGTCTTTCTGGTGGAAAGAGCATTTGAGAAAAAATTAAATACATTATTTTCTTCATTAAAAAAGTCCAAGTGGTATATTTAACCTTGATATTAAAAGGGAATAAGAATCTAACATGCTTTGTCGCTTTTGAAAATCCCACTATAATGTTCCTCTATTGCAATGCCAAAGAACTCATTGAAAGAACTGTGGTAGAGAGCAATTCCAATAGATCTATTGGTCTTAATCCTGCACCCACTGAAGCCAGTGGGAAAATTCCCTCTGACTATAAGGTTGTATCGCAGATACTGACCTCCCTCTATTTGGTGGAACAGCCTTAGATACCAGTAAAAAATCATTCTTTGCTTTCCCAGGATTCCACAGCATATGACTTCCCCTCTGCATCCATATGTGTGCCTATGTCCATAGGGTAGTGAGGAATATCTGCAGGCAGGACCCAAAGAGGTGGGGGACTTTCAGCTATTCTAATGAGGTTTGGAGTTAATTCAAACTATTTGGCCAGGTACAGATATGATTACATCATAGAAGACTGCCCCATAAAATCCCAAACAGGATGAAGGTATAAATGCAGTGAACCCTATCACTGAGAATGTTGTGCCTTTCCTGGGCATAACTGGCTGTGCATATGCTAACAGTAATTACAAAAACAGCATATTTTACAGTATGCCAGATATTCAGATGATAGCAATAGCAATCTGCTCAGTCACCTCTGCAGAAGGTTTCTCTTTGCCTGTATCTGTTTTATCCAAAGTGAGTCAGCCCTGTCTGGCTATGAATATATGGATCCCAATTCTTCTTTCCCCCCCACCCCCAAATTAGCAGTGATTTCTGCCCTTTTCTTCTTATGGCCAAAGTCACAATCTTTTCATTTTATCGAGGAGGTTTTCCCTTTTCCCTAGGTTGTTGAAACCAAGGTCACTTAGACGATATAGTCAGTGCCCTTCTTTGTTCAGTTCTTTGCCCTTTCAAAATGTGCACAGCCAAAATGCCTTGGAAGTAAAAAGAAGAGTGGAGTCCAAATCCTATAATTTTAGGCACTTTCTTTTCTTATGTATGTATCTGAGAGAATCAGAGAGGTGACTGCATGATTTGAAATATAAAACAGTCCCCTGTTCTTCAGTGAATTTTATATCAAAATACATTTTGGTTACCTGCCATATGTCATTAATAGATTTGCTTCCTTTCCATTGCTATCTTACATGTTTGTATTTATAAAAGTGTTGTCTTTCTTACAGCTTATTTTTTTCCTTCTCGTTTATCTAATAATAGCATAATCCCAAACATGATATATGCCTCTGTTGTCCCACAGTACTGACAAGTGAAAGGAGATAAGGGTTTTAATCAATATATCTTTTCCTTGGTACCATATATGTTACACATTTGGAAATAATGATAAAAAATCATTTTTAAAAAAAACTTGATGTAACTGACATCTCCTTACAAGAATCAATAATTGCCATCACAACCGCATATTAAATACAAAATGTAAAACAATCTCATACAATGCAGGTTGTATTTGGCATGTGTCAAATGAGTACTGGTTAAGTGACATATCCGTTTTGGCTCTTAAATTTGGAAAGAGATTTAATCAGTATAAGAAAACTATTTTTCTATTTTTAGAATATGAACTTATTTAATTTTGAAGGGTCTTTAGGAAATTAACCTGTGTCTTATAAAAGAATTCAGCGCAGTCCATTATTAATAAATACAAGTTGTGCAGAGATAAGGTTCTGAAATAGTTTCATTGCATTTGGGAATTTCTACAAAAGCAAAACAAAATGTGGATAAAACAAAACAAAAAAGTAAAACCCCACAGTTACGCAAATGCGTACATCCAGCCAATATGTAAAGCTTTGATGCTCTATTGTTCCCTAATTCTCTATGAATAGTTGGATACATTTTATGATTATTAGTTATAGTTCCTATATTATTTTGAGCTTCACTTTCTGTGCACAAGAATTTGTTTATGTGGTGGCTCTAAACAGGTCCTTATCTTCTCTCTGAACCTTTCACCTTTGTGTCTGTGTTTTGCTGCATGGCGAGCACATTCATTTACTGTACCATGTATGTAATAATGTCACTAGTATTTAACACTGTCTTTATAACTGTTTGCGCTGCTAGCTGCTACACTGAAGCAACCATGCTGTTCTCAAGGCAGTCAACCCTTGATGATTTAGATGGACCAGACACTGTTCCTAAAACAAGTGAGCGCGCTCGACCTAGGCTTCGTAAAATGCACAGCATGGATATGTCCTCTTCATCAGCTGACAGTGGCAGTATAGTGTCAAGGTGCTTAACTCATGCATGCTTTGTTCACTCATTTACCCTGACCATTATATATTTTGCAATGTATATTTTTGCAGATATGAGTATTTAAATTATTTGCATGCTTGATGGAAGCTTTACTCCCTTGTGTTGTGGCAAGACTTTTAGGTTCAAAATAGTGTCAAACCAATAATCATTCATTGATTGCTTTAAAAAAACAAACAGAATACCCTCTTCTCTTACTCTTTACAGCCTGTTCCATCATTTTGAACTGGATGCCTAAAGTCAGGCTCCTAAACCCACTTTTAGTTGCCTGAATAATAGTAGCCAGATTTTCAAAGGTGTTGAGCCCACAGCTGCTCCCATTGGCATCAACATAATTTGTGGGAGTTTCATTTTTCAGATGATCAGACAACCTCTATACTGGCATGGGAATCTAACTTTAGGAACCATGACATGGAAACTTTGGTTCTGCTCTTTTAGCAAGAAGGAGCAAGAATGAGGGAAGGGAGTGGAAAGAGTGAAAAATTAGGAATTAGGAGAAATAGAGACATCAGCAAAAAAAGTCCAGAAGGAAAACAAGGATAGACTATTTGAGGCGGTGGCCAGAAGAGAAACAAAATAGTAGAAGGAATGATGAATAACATGCAAAGCAGAGCAGGGATGATCAAGCAAGAGAGAAGCTGTGAAGGAGGTAAATAGATAAAAAAAAGTAAGAACAGTTGGAAAAAGAAAAGAGGTGTGCATAAGGAAAAGAAAAAGACAGGTAAGACAAAGGACTGAAGAAGAAGAATATTACATGACCTAAAGGTAAGAAAGGTATCATAACATTCCTATTCCCAGAACAGCATTTAATTGGAATGGAGTTTCTCCATGTGTGCGGGTTACCTGTCCATTATTACTGGGTTTAGAATCAGACTTGATGGATGGATTGTGTGTATCCAGCTTACATTTTGATTGCTAACTGCAGCTTTAAAACTATGCAACAAAGCCACAATTGTTATAAGCATTTAATTGAAGCAGATGGATCCTTATATATAGTGTGGCATCATGCAGCACACTCAAAATAAATGCTGAAACATGTCCTGATTGTGGTTGGAATTTTTTGTTTTAAGAAAACGGGTACAAGATCTCTCTTTGTCAGCACCAGTTTGTCCTGACTTGCTTTGGAGCCATACTGAATCACTGAAAATTCAACAAGCAATCACTCAGGGCTCAGATGGAACAGATGGCTTTGTATGCGTGAAGGGGAGGTGATGGTGATACATTTTCTGCCAAAGGCAATGCATTTTGAGGGTTTAAGAGTGGACTGATGTTGCTAATATTTTTACCTGAAGGCAGAATTTAACAAAAAAATTTCTGAGGAAAAATTCTTTCTGTTCCTGTTATTCCTGACAGTGAGCCTACCCAGGTCACCATACTGTATTCCCGTCAGGGGACAACAGAAACTATTGAAGAAGTGGAAGGGGAGCATGAGGATGATGGGGCACGTTTGGCATCAAGGCAAGAGGAGGAGACAGAAGATTACGGCATGGATTCAGAAGAGGTTGCATGCACTCCGGATACTGACATGCAGTTGTATTCTGTTGGGGATGGCAATGCTGAAGCCCCACCTTCGTATAGCAAAGCAGTCAGCTTTGAGGATATTTCAGTTGGTTCTCAAGATGACTCTGGTGGCAAGAGCCTCATGTTAGTGAGCCCAGATGAAAAGCCAAGTGACAAATTGAATGATACCATTCTCCCTCCACTGACTCATGAACTAACTGCCAGCGAGTTGCTTCTGAACAAGTAAGAAACTTCGAGTGTTTAATTTTTAAGTGCTTAAACTTTAAGTGAAATCTTAGTGCCAGCTTTAAGGTTTCCCAAAATAGGTTAGCTACTTTTTTGTGTAATTTTTTTCTCTGTAGTTGTTCCTGAGAGAGAGTTTTTTTCCTTTTTAAAATATTATAACTGTTCTTTATAATTGTTTGGTGAGGGGCATCTTCTCCAACATTGTTTTAATTGCAGCCAGAAAATATTTTGTTTCTAAAATTATCCCAATGAAAGTGAGAAAGACTCTTTAACATCTCTGCATTCCAAATGTAGAAATGTGGATGTCAGCTCTAGTGATGGCACAGGAAAATTTCTTCCCAAAAATGCACCGTGTCTAGCTGCCGTAAGGTGTATCTCTCTAAATTATTGTTTAAATGGTCATTGAAATTGTTCCCACTTTTGGAGGAGAGGCTTTCTGATAAAGCTTGTAAGTCTACAGAGGAAGCATCTGCTATATTCCTTCGTGAGATAGATACAGGATACTCCTCTGCTCTCCACATAGCCAGCAAATTGTGTGGGCCAGCACCTGGAGCCATAACTTTGCTTTCTCAATTTGTAATTCCAGAAGAGCAAGGAAGGAGCTGTCCCTCTGCTCCGTTGAATGCAGAGTCTGAAATTCTACTTAGTCCTTATGCAGCCCATATAAGATAAGATTACAGCAAACAGGGCTGTAAGGCTCCTGTAGATGTCGTCTCCTGTAGAAGTGTGTCTGCCTGTGTCAAAGTAGAACCAACATGAGAAGAGGCTCCTTCCCTTGCACTATAGACAAGTGCAAGGCCTAGGAGAATATCAAATCCCCAAAAATGTCCTTTGGTTCAGTTGAAAATAGACAGAAAAGCATCATATTGCTTGTGTAAACTGAGCGTTTTTTCTTTCAGGCTTCTTTATTGGGGGGGTGCGAAATGAGCCATATTCGATTCAGATTCGGCCTGAATTGGGGATAGTGATTCAATTAGTTGATCTGGATCACTGTCCCTGATTCGATTCAGCCAAATCCAAATCTGAAGATTCGATGCTGATTTGGAGAATCAGTGATTCAGCCATAGATACAGCTTTAAATGTTTTTTCTGCATACCTCAAGGTACCAGATGCAGCTTCTGGTCCACTTCTGGGTCTGCTGAGGAGTGCACGGGGGGCACTTCCTATTGGTTTGCTTTAATTGTCACTGAATTCTAATGTTACATGATGTTTGCATCAAACAAGATTGCTGATATTGGTTTTTTATTTATATTTATAGACTCTCCAACAGAATTTTTTAAAAGGGAAAACAGTACTAATTAAAAATGATATTGCACACATTTTATTTTCATGTCATTTATGGAACTCTTCTTCTCACAGGATGTTTCATGATGAAGAACTGGAGGAGTCAGAGAAATTCTATGTTGATCAGCCTCGGATATTGCTTCTCATTTATGCCCTGTACAATACGTTGGTGGCCCGGTCAGAAATGGTGTGCTATTTTGTGATTATTCTTAATCACATGATCTCTGCTTCTATGATAACTCTTGTGCTTCCCATACTTATATTTCTTTGGGCCATGCTGTCTGTCCCCAGGCCTAGCAAGCGCTTCTGGATGACTGCTATTGTCTACACTGAGGTATGTGATAATTTTTACACCCTTATTTGTTAGGAGCAAATAACACATACTGTTGCAAAGAAAAGAGAGTAGCAGGACCTTCATGGCATGTCTCTTGGCTGTTCCTGTACATCACCCAATATGGTGGTGCACTACGTCTTTGGTCATTATCTTAATGTAAATATTTACTAAAAATAAAACTGTTGGGCATTTGTAGTATGTATAAAAGCATCTTATGGGAGTATTTTTCCCCTGCATTTATATGATGACTTTCTGTCACCTAAAGAAGTTGATGAAAAAGGCACCATTTACTAATAGCTACCAGCTAGCTATTACCATTCAGAAGCCTGCACTCACCATCTGTTATAAAGAGATAACCATGGTACCTGTTGAGTGGTACCTGGTGATAATTGCAATTTATTTAATGGCTACCCTTCTTATTAAAAATATATGAAAATGTAGTTATTACTGATGCATAACAACAAAAGTACTAATGAGTCTTGTTATAAAATTCATGAAGTAGTTGCATATTTTTTATATTACTGACAAGAATCCAATCCTGTCAGATGATAATGTTTGGATAACTGTTCCCCATACATTGTTTCATTATAGGTGGCTATTGTTATCAAGTATTTCTTTCAGTTTGGCTTCTTTCCTTGGAATAAACATGTGGAGTATACCAAAGATAAACCTTACCACCCCCCCAATATTATTGGTATTGAGAAGAAAGAGGGTTATGTGCACTATGATCTTGTTCAGCTCCTTGCTTTGTTCTTCCATCGATCCATTTTAAAGGTAATGTAAGTTAAAATGTATATATTTGTTTAATTTCATGGTCATTCCTACAGTCATCATCACAATGCTGTAAAGTAACATTTCTATCACATTTTTACAAATAGGAAGGTGAAGAACAGGGAGGCTGTGTATCATACAAGATGTCTGTGGCACAAGTTAAGATACATTCCAGCTCTCATCCCTACTCCAAAGGGCCATTCTTCCTTTCTGTCCTTTGCTAGTCAGGGTCTTGAAAGATGTATTTATTCTTTGCCAAGTTAATGTTACATTATTTTAATCTCTGCTCTTCAAAAAGTGTATTTGTCATTTAAATTGTAAAGACTTCATTTCTTAAGTAAATGTGTTTCTTCAAACTATAATTAAAGTCATGCCATCTCAGCAAAGAGGCAGATTCTTATGGGTTCGTGGTATGCTTTGCAGACAGTCTTACCACACTAGTAGGCATTGTGCCCACTGCACACATTTGGGTCCATGGAATTTCTGAGGAATTCATTATCACTCTGCAATTGTTTAGTCTGGTAATACAGCCATGTGATAATCATGAAGCACGGTTGTGTGATAGGTGAGTATGTCACTTGAGAGTTGTACTCCATGCTTTTCTGTTTGAGCTGCTTAGCCTATATTGCTTTCTTTTATCTTCAACCACTTAAATTACATTTATGTTTATAACCTATCTTTCTTTTCTCAAAATGGCATGACAGTGAACAGTGGTTCAAGGCATGGTGCTGAAGTGAACCAAAAGAAAAATCCTTCCTGTGACATGTTTTGATCCAATATATCCATAATTTTGCCTAATCATGGCATGGGAAAAGTACTACTTTGCTGTGATAGACTGTAGAATTCCAAAACTAGTCATTGCAACATTGTGATGTAACAGCACTTTTCACAGAGGAACACCGGGAGCTTCATTTTCAACATTGTGCGTCCCAGAAAATGTGTCTATTTCTGTATACCTTCCAGCTATTGGTTATGTCCATTTAACTAAATAGCTCAGCCAAGCTTTGCTTTCTGTTACCAATGTAGAACTCATGTATGCAGGGGATTGATGCCCTTTAAATATTACAATAGAAGGACTAATATAATTAATTCTATAGTTGGTTTTACAGCATAGTGAATGCCCTAACAGAAATACAGGAAAGATGTGTCCTCATTTTTTTTTTCACTAGTGCCATGGGTTATGGGATGAAGATGACCAAGGGGATAATGCCAGTAATAAAGAGGACTCGGATGACGAGCTTTCAGTGACAGCAGGCAGGAGGGATTCTTCTGCTTCTTTGAAGTCCGTTAACCTTGCAGCATCTGTGGAATCTGTACATGTCCACTTCCCAGAGCAGCAGACTGCCATCAGAAGGAAAAGTTCTAGCAGCGGCTCACAACTTTCACATAGATCCAGCTTCTCCTCACACAGGTCAAAGAGAGGTGTGTGTCAGGGTAGCATGGCACTGGAAGAGCAAATGTCTTTTCTCACTGGATGGTTCTGTAGAAACTTTGGGTGTTGTTATAATGAAATGGGACCAGGGCCAAATTCAAATTGCCTCATTGTGCATAACAAGGTGCCTCAAGGTACATAACAAGGACTTGAGCAGGAGTTGGATACCTGGGTGGAAACAGATGCATCCATAAAATGTGTATGGTAGCACAACAGCCAAGTCATAGAGTCAGTGGACCGGAAGAGAACTGTAAGATCATCAAGTCTAGTCCCCTGCCATAGGCAGGTTAAAGAGTTCAAACTAGCTCAATGAGGTGCTTATCCCGCCTCCTTTTGAACACCTCCAAGGATGGTGACTGCACCACCTCTGCCAGGAGTATGTTCCAGATTCTAGTTACCCTTATGGAGAAGAAGTTCTTCCTTATGTCCAACCTAAATCTTCCATCTATTAGTTTATGACCATTGGTCCTCATCTTTCCAAGGGGTGCCTTCCTGAAAAGTTGCTTCCCCAGATCCTGGTGTTCCCAGATCCATAAATGGGTCCATACCCCTTGTAGCACCATAAATGTCTAAACTTTGTGTCCATGACATAGATGGTATCAATCTGTCACCTTATTGCAGCAGACATCTGTTAGGTTTATAGCAGGAGAGTGCTCTACAGCAGCCCCAGGTAGGCACTCCTGAGCTTTCATGCCCCAGGAATGAGATCCGGCCCCTGAAGTGCCAGGATCAATTGCCTGGATTCCCCTATTTGGGATGCCCCAGGTGCTTGTCGACACTCTGGTACAGTCCTGGGGCTGGGAAAGCTGGTGTTTCCCTTCTTACGGAGATGAGCCTCAGAGATTCCCAGGATGTGTCTGGGAACGCATTATCCATTGTCCTGAGGCATCAATGAGTGGGAAAACAGATAATGTGCGTTTCACCCAGTGAAGCGGACACATCCCAGCACAGCTGATCCACTTCATTTGCTGATCTCTATTTCTAGTCCCCGAGTCCAAGGGAAAGTTTCAAATTGGCCTGTGCCAGCACCCTAAAAACTCACTGTGCCCTTTCATGCAGTAGTTTCCTCCACTTTGGAGTTCATTGCCTTTGCTCAGGTTCATGCACATCTCATTCCCACCTAAGGTCCTTTCCAATTAAATTTGCTCATTGAAAGTTCACATACTCCACCTGCAGCCTCCAAAAGGTCTCAGCCATTAGGTGAACAGGAGCCATACAACTCACATTGACAGCACTGAACAAGTGATCGTTGGACTGAATTCAGTGATCTTTTCCCCACTAGCTCAGTTGTTAAACCTTTTGCCCAGGATTCTAGTCCCACTTCACCATGAAAAGGTTTGAATTCACATCACCAGCTTTCCAGGAGAGGGCTCCAACACCAGGCTGTGGAATACATAGATGGGAGCACTCTATACTCCTCCTTTTAAAACTGGGGACCTGGGCAAACAAGAGTGTAAGAATGGAAGAACAAACAGAAGGGAGCCTGACTCAGTAATTACACTCCCTGGGGAAGAGAGAAGTCTGGGTTCTGGTCTCTGCTATCAGGAAGATTCTGTTTATTAATGAATAGCCATCAGATTTAAATTGCAGAAACATTGCTGGAAAGTTGGGTCAAAGGCTTTGCTTCAGCATATGGTTACATCTGTATTAGACCCTTCCGGGACTTCAGAGCATAAGGCTTTGTTTCAGAATCTGTCTTAATGGCTTCTTTACGAGAGTGATGGTCTGTGTTTTAATTGCTCATTATATTTTTATCTAAACTGTGATTCTAATGAAAACATTCTGCTTTCTTTTTCTTCCTCCACCCTACTTTCCAGGAAGCACCAGTACCCGAAACAGCAGTCAGAAAGGAAGCAGTGTTTTAAGCATCAAGCAAAAATCTAGAAAAGAGCTCCTTATGGAAAAGTTTCGAGAACAAATGATCAAAGCCAAGGCATTTACCATTAAAAAGTGAGCAGGATGAGGTTTTTGTTTGCTATTCAGGGAGGCGGATGTGAAGATTGTGGATGGAGAAGACTGAAATAGTAAAATAACTGTTTAACTAACTGAAAGATACTACTATAACTAAAATCACTTCTAAAAATATACTCCATGTTGTGGTAGCATTGGGATGATGTTGCAGTTGTCATGGTTCAGGAAAAAATGTGAGAAACAAGGATATTTGTGGGTGATGATATTTATTTATTTATTTATTTATTTATAAAAGATATCAATGACAACAAACCCTGGCTTCTTATAAAAATATACATAATTTAGGGGGCTGGATATCTGTCTTGTGGCAATTACCGATCCTCCTGGATTGTGGTGTATGCATGAAGGCGCTCTCAGCACTGCGATGCATATGCCTGGGCAGGAATTTTTTGGAAGAGTGGAGGTTGCCCAGACCTTCCAGCCTCCCTTTAGACCACTGAGGCAAAATCCAAAGACGAGACCGAGTCCAGATGTTTGGTGCCTCCATGGGACAGCTCTATAGATTGTTCAGATGCAGATGATTTCCACCCGGTTTCAGCTACTCGGAATTAAACAAGTTAGTAGCGACTAAAAGTTCCCTGTGAAATAAGTTGATAGACTTAGGGTATTTCTGAGAGACGAGGGTTTGTAGAACGCTATACGCACAACCAACACAATTGGTAGTGATAGTGAAAGACATAATTCTACACATAAATGATGTCAGACTCTTGCTTTCATAAATGTAATGGCATTGTTCTCAAAGTATTTCTCCTAAACCAGACTGTGATTTATGATGTTTCAGGACTCTTCAGGTGTACATTCCCATCAGACAATTTTTCTACAATCTCATTCACCCAGACTACAGTGCTGTTACTGATGTTTATGTGCTAATGTTCCTCGCAGACACTGTGGACTTCATTATCATTGTGTTTGGATTCTGGGCCTTTGGGGTATGTCATGAGAGGTTTGATCTGTAAATCCTCAGTCAGAATCTTTATGATATTTGTGAAATACCTTGGGGAACTGGCCCTTTCTAAATAACTGTATCTGCTTTCTTTCCTAGAAACATTCTGCAGCAGCTGATATCACTTCATCATTATCAGAGGACCAGGTACCAGAGGCATTTTTAGTGATGGTGCTCATTCAGTTTGGGACCATGGTGGTAGACCGAGCACTGTATCTCAGAAAGACAGTCATGGGAAAAGTCATCTTCCAGGTCATCCTTGTTTTTGGGATACACTTCTGGATGTTCTTTATCTTGCCCGGAGTGACAGAGAGGTAAATCTCTAGAAATAACAAAAAGAGAGTTAAATGGATCATTTTCAAATTTAATCCTAGTTTCATTTGAGTATGGTGTAGCCAAAAACTCTTAAGTCACAAATAGATTTCTTCTTGCTTTCATTAATAAGCAGGTTACATAGATGCCTTTATAGAACAATAGTGTTGGCAATATGTGACTGTTTGAATGAGGGAAAACTGAATTAAAACAAATATATTGAAATAGTATGTATTCAAACTCCTGTAAAGGCAAAATGTAATGAAGATTTCATTATGAAGATCTGAAGAACTAAATTAAATGGAGAAATTTAGCCAGTCAGAGCTGATATACTGCAAAATCACAGGCGCCCCATGTTTTAATGAACACTTCCTAACACCCACCAAATTCACAGCTGCCCCATCTACTCCATCACCATGTAATCATAATCACATAGTTCCACTGCAGATGACCTCATACAGTTGCTGAGTAATAGGTCATAGCTAGTCCTATCAAATAATAAAATATACATTTTCAAACTTCAAGTTCCAAGTGAGTTGCATCATGTCTTGTAGTGCCAAACTAGTTTACTGACAAGAACAAAATAGGTGTTTAAGATATGAATAATACAATGAAATAGGAAAGATAGGTTATCTTTGCACTTTAAAATTGTCTTTAAATGTACTTATTGTATTTTCCCCCCATGTAATAATAAGTACAACCATGCATGAATAAAATGGGTATTGTCCAAATGATTTCTTGTCTCAAAAGATACTGGACCTTGGGAACTGAAATGAAAGTTTGGAACTGCTGATTTAATGTGGTTGTTTATAAGAAAAAAGCAACAAAATCTTTTGGACCTTTACCTTGCTCTTATGAAATATTTATCTCATACTCTCTTCATGCATCTATAAATAAAACCTGTCAGGGTCAATTTAAATCAAGCTGATTTCCATAAGCCCAGGAAAGTTCCTTACCTACAATAGTTGTTTTGCAAAACAATCACATTGAATACATTGTTTTATATCTGGCTGTCAAAAGCTGTTCTTAGCAAGCATGACAAAAATGTTTAAAAATATCCTATGAGGGACCATTCCACCTCTTTCTGTGCCACATATTTCTTTAAATCAAATGCTTTGTAGATGTGATATACAAGAGCAGCTAGAGTGAATATTTTTACAACTTCAGGTGACTGGACTCAGTGACCTGGGAGGTCCCTTGTGGTGGGTCAAGTACTCGCAGGATGATTGTCACCATTAACACAACTCTGTGGGACTTTTACATTTCTTGTAACTATGTGTACATGGTAGAATAGCAATACTTTCCCATGCAGGTTTTCCTCTAGAGCTGGGTGATACAAGCAAAGAGCCCTGAGGCCAGAGTGGATAAAAACCAATTTTTTTTTTTAATAAAAAGATTTTTTTTATTTAAATCATATTTTTAAATTTAATTATATTTTTGTTAAGATGCTTTTAAAAAATAAACCTATATAAAGATCATTTTAATTTAAGATATGTTAGAGCTCAAGTATATCATCACAGAATAGGGATTATTACTTCTAATTATATACTATTTGAGACAGCATATTCATCTAACTTTTTTAGAAAAGTTTTATCAATAGGTCACAACAGGCCATGGACTATATTAGTGGCCCAATCTTATGGGGTTCCCAGAGACTTCTCTATAAATTAGTAAAAATTAAAGAAAACCACTCTACTCAATGCGACTCAGTGCTCAGTTCATAAGATCCCATTAAGCATCTCTGTAATGCTTAGTTTCAGTTCTCAAATTGTGGATTTGTGTCTACAGAGATAACATCCATGTTTACAGCAGTATATGGAGATGAGAGATAGCAGACCTGATTACCTACCCATCAGCCTTCTTGTCTCTCTGCAAGTTTGTGTACACAGAATCAAGCCCTTACCGTTCTCTAAAAGTGCAAAGTTTCAAGAAGTTAAATGAATAGAGGATTGTAGGGTGGGGGGAGTAGATCTGGGCAAAGAGGAGGAGTCTGGAGATAAATGCAAGGAGGGAGAGGCAGTAGAAACAAAAGAGAAACATTTTGAGCAGACTGTTCCAGAAGGCTTTAGGGATAAGTTTCTAAGTATAGCCTCTCAATTGATTTGAGATCTAGTGAGGGAATAGTATGATAGAAGGGAAAACCTATCATGACAGCAGGCTTGCCAGGCCATAAAACAGACTCTGTTTAGGGATATTTTAATGAAAGTTATATCAAACAACAAGAATGCACTTTTTTTGGTAGAAAACAATGATTAAATCAATGATTTCTTACCAGTGATTTAAATTGTGATTAAATCATGATTTAAATCAACTTGATTTAAATCAAATCCACCCTGACTGTGCCTAATCCTGATCATAGATTCCTATAGGAGAAAAGAGCCTTTGGGGTTAAATTGGCAGCACACCGATACAAAGCTTAACAATTTATCTCTTTCACTTTTTCATTGCAGAAAATTTAGCCAAAATACTGTTGCCCAGCTCTGGTATTTTGTGAAATGTGTTTATTTTGGATTATCAGCATATCAAATACGTTGTGGTTATCCAACCCGTGTTCTAGGCAACTTCCTCACAAAAAGTTACAACTATGTAAACCTCTTCTTATTTCAAGGGTAAGTAACTACCTACTCTGTCTTACGCAAACTTGTACATATGTATTATGAAGGTTGAGTCATCGCTGCGTTATCCCTGACGTAGTTCTGCAGGTCATTGCAAATGTGTAATGCACAATATACTGTCATATTTCTTGTCTATGCTGCATGTAATACAGGGAATTATTAAAAATACCATCTCCTTTGTAAGTTCAGGAGCCTTACTTACCATGAGGCCAACTATCCATCCAGACCTCATTGAAAGAAAAATACTAACCAACACATTTTGAAGCATATAAAAATACCTTAAATATTTTAAATCACGGCTGCTCAAACTCTGGCCCCCAGCTCTAGGCCATTTGGCCCACAGTGCTTCTGGCAGTTTTGGAAATTTGGGCAGTGGGGGTGCAATGACACTGCTTCCCTACTGACAAATCTTCTGACCCATGGGAAGCTCTGGACCCTGAGTGCCAGATTCAGTATACCTGATCCAAATGTGTCAGGCCAGGCAGAGGCAGCAGCAGCAGCACCAGGGGGTGCCCCCAGGACCGAATCCCAGCATGTGGGTTGCAGGAAGGGCAGTGTTGGGCCCTGGGACCTGCTCCTGGTGGGAGGGGAGCAGAATGAAGCAGTGCTGTACTCCCAGAATGAAATCTGCAGGTGCAGGGGCTGGAAGAGAGTGGCACTGGGTCCTCAGGGTCCAATCCCAGTGCACGGGACAGGAAGGGGTGGTGTCAGGCCCATGGACAGGCCCTGCGTCACTCATGTGGCCCATACAGCCAAAAGGTTGAACACCACTGTTTTACATTTAAATCACTGTACGGTCCTGTTTCTTTAGAGAACATCTGTGCCTAGAAACACAGGCCAGGAGCCCAACTTGAAAACTAGGACTCTTCCCTTTTTAAAGTTTAAAATCCTTTTTTCATCCCTCTGAAATAGTAAGACACCAGGACTTATGGCTGCCACTAGAGCTTGATTTTAATATTGTGCCTTATACCAAAGTAGTCTTGGGCTGGGAATCTATGAGGGGTTAAGAAAACATTGGTTATGACAGAGTTGATATTTAAAAGCACTGTGTGTGAAGCTGTTTAGAGGTTAGTAATGCTAGTAGTAGCCCCAGAATGGATGGTTTAGTGGTCAGAATACAAGTGAAGCAGCAAAGTGTTTGATCATCTATTGTCATGTCTGTCTTTCCTTTCAGATTCCGCCTGGTTCCATTTTTGACTGAGCTGAGAGCAGTAATGGACTGGGTTTGGACTGACACCACTCTGAGTCTTTCCAGCTGGATCTGTGTAGAAGATATCTATGCTCATATATTCATCCTAAAGTGTTGGCGAGAGTCAGAAAAAGTAAGAAAGCTGGAAAAGAGATCTAAGCCTTTTTTCCTCCCCAACTCAGATAATTATGGCAATAATGAAGAAAAACCTGCCAAGTTATAAGTTTAAATAAATGAAAAATAGATCAGAGGGCCAAATTTCTGTAAGAGAGGCGAGGGGACTTACTCACTAAGATGTCTGAGCAATGGTGTGCCTACATTTGCATGTAATTACCATGAATGAAAATCAAATGACTTGCAAGCAGCTAACTCCTCCTTAGTGCCTAACTGATTTTCCATTCATTTATATGAGCTCCACATGTAGTCGTGGTAATTTTTGTCTGAAAATGTAGCTGTTCAATTGCACATATGCATTTCAGAGTTGGATCGAAGAATAAGTCTTGGTGGGCAAATGAATTATGATTGTTTAAAACAACTGGGTGAGCAGCTAAGACTAAACCAGCTTAATATAAAAAACAATGCAGATGAGAATATACAGTATGTTCCTCAGGATACATCATGATGAAGGACAAAATAATTCCTGTTTAAGGCATCTATAGAAGAAATTCTCCATAATCCCTCCAGTTCAGATGACTTCCAAAAGTATAGAGCAGGGGTAGGCAACATTCTTGGGTCTGGGTGCCGAAAAAACAGCAATGTCTACCTTGGAAGGTGCCAGAGTCCTGGCACACCAGAAAAACCAAACAAGGGCAGGGGGTAGATAGCAGGATGCACCGCACAGTAGTCTTGTTCACAATCCTAAATGTGGCCTGTTTTTTATGGTACATACCAGACTTTCTAAAAATTCTAAACCTGATGACAACACATAAAACTTCTGACGCTACCTTTGATCTTATGCGTTTGTTTAGGGCATGTCCCCCCACAACAGCCCCCAAGCCCTGATCATGCCCCTTTGCCCCTCACCCAAAGCCCCTACCCCCCAGCCCTGCCTGAGGGGGTCCCCAGCTGCCAGGGCTATGGGCCCAGGGGCCCAGGTCTGCAGCTCCCTGCCTACAACAGAAGGCAGTGGCTGCTGCTGCAGGAGCAGGAGCTGGTTCCCCCAGTGCTGCTTCAGGCTTGGGTGGGGAGTGGGGCCAGCTCCTGGTGGGAGCATACACTCCTGGGTGGGCAGGGGGGATCTGTGCCCCCCAGATCTGTGTGAGGGGCAGGGGCAGGGCAGGTGCACATTGCGGGCTCATGCTCCCCACCATGCTGCCCTCCCCACCGCCTCTGCAGAGCAGCATGTGTAACTGGGCATTGCAGGGCACAGCAGGGAGGTGCACAAACACTGCCTGCCGCTCTGAGCTCCCTGCTGCTCTGGCCACACTACCCCTGCAGGTGGGGGCAGCACTGCAGTGAGGGGCACAACCCTGCACTCCCAGCCCTGCTGCCCTCCCCCGGGTCCTCCGGAGCGCAGGGTGTGCGACCCAGAGCAGCAGCGCACAGAGGGGCCGCACAGGGAAGCTGCCTGCCACTGCAAGCATCCCACTGCCCTGGTCACACTTACCTGTGTGCATGGGAGCAGCGCAGGCAGCAGCGCAGGGTTGTGCCCCTCACTGCTGCCCCCACCTGCAGGGGAAGTGTTACCAGGGTGGTGGGGCACTCAGAGCAGCAGGCAGTTTTTGTGTGCCTCCCCACTGTGCCCTGCCGTGCCGGGTCCCACACACTGCTCAGCAGAGGCGGCAGGGAGGGCAGCGCGGTGGGGAGCCTCGCCAGCATCTGCTGCCTGCCCAGGCCCAAGGCCGAAGCTGGGGCGGAGTGGCAGCAGCTGTTTTCAGCTTCCCGGCTGCAGCTGGCCCAGGCCCTGGGGTCGCTGCTGCCAGCCATGGTACCCGGGCTGCTTGCAGCAGGGCTTGCAGCCTCCCAGCCACCTGCTGGGAGCAGCCCGGGCCCTGTGGCTGGCAGCAGCTGCCTAGAGCCGAAGTTGTTGGTGGCATGCCAAGCAAAATGGCCTCGCGTGCCATTCTTGGCACACGTGCCAGGGGTTCCTGACACCGGTATAGAGCATAGCTACGAGGCATGAGTTTCGTATACAGTATCTTTTAGGTAGCCCATGGCAACACTCAGTTATACCTCAGAAGCTCATTTGCAAGTCTTATGCACACATGGACTGGTGAAGAGAGGGGAATTCTGACTCAATTTCTGTAGACTGCTCTACAGATCTAATGTCTAATATCAGGTGCATCCAGCGTAGGCACAGTTGGGTAAAACCATGATTCCTGGTGGTGTTCCCAAGCCACCTATGAGGCACTACAAACATGGTCTTATTCTCTGGGGCGCGCATCAAGATGGCAGGAACGCTTCTGGGTGGCACTCCCACACTACACTGAGAGTGGGTATTGATGAGGCCCTTGTACCCTTGGTAAAAATAGCATCCTTACGTTTTATTTTGCCAAGTTTAAAATGAAATGAAGCATCAGTTTAAGAATGCAGAATGGCCTAAATATTCAGAAATTGTACATTTGCAGTAAAATGGCGATATACTTTAGTATTGTTGGTATATTTCTAGTTTTCTTATAATTCTTCCCCTTAAATCTACAGGAAGTCAAGGTATGTCACTTAAATTAATTTCATTTTACTAGAAATCCACAAAAACCTAATGTTTAGGTTTTTAGGTTAATTATGGACCTATCATGAATGGAACAGTTTCAAAACATAATCCAGTTCCAGAGTCACTATCCCTGTTGCTCTTTCTATAATAACATCAGTCTGTATTGTTCTGTAGTATAATTTTGGGATAAGCAAGTTTCCAAGTCCATGTGTGCCAGTACTATATATTGCCATGCTTTTGGGTGGACTCTTGCATTCATATCACAGGAAGCTGTCTGTTAAGACTAGTACAACTACCAGTAACTTTATCAGGGCATTTGAAGGGAACTTTGGCACTTTCTCTATCGCTTCCATTCATTCTCCTGAGGATTTTGGCTGTTAGTCTCTCTGAGCTACTCTGGAACTGCATCAGGGCTAGGTACAGACATTTGAGGAGATTAAATCGGGTTCAAAAAGGCCATCCGACTTAAACTTAGCTCATCCCGGTGCCAACCTTACACACTCAGTGACCAGCAATCAGTCTAAACCTATAACTCTACAGAAATTCCATGCACACAAAAGAGTCTAAAAATTTCAGAATCCAAATTAAGATAAATCTAGATCTATGTAATATCAAACTTATTTGATTTAGGTCAAAACAGTGCATGTGACTTCTGTATACTTTCCCTGCGCAGCCCCAGGGCTGGGAAAATCCAGCCACTGGCCCCAGCCCTGGGACTGCTGTTTTCACTCCCACCCCAGCACAGGGCTATTTTTTGACCATGCCCCCCTGGCCCCTTGCTGCCTCCCCCACAGACAGCTAGCCCTCTCAATCCCAATCCCACAACCCACTCCAGGTGCAGCCATTTTTATCAGCATTTGCTGGAGCTGAGTATTTGCTGGAGCCCTCCTCCCTCCCCAGCAAGTAAGTTCTAGCGGGGGGAGGGTGCAGAGTGATGGGGGTGTAGGTGTGCAGTGCGGGGGGGACAGGGGATTAAAAGTAGCTCCCCAAGGATTCTGCAAGCCTCTTGATCCTTGCAAATGCTCCTGGATCCCAGCAAAATCCTGTGGGTTATGCCTCACCCCTCCCCACCTACATGGCATGCTTGCCCCCCCCTCCACTCCACAGGGTCACGCCTGCCCCTTCCACCCCACCCTCACGTCACACCTTCCCCACCCCTCATGGGTCAATCCTCCCCTCCATCTCCTGGCAGACTCCAAATCTCCTCCAGCCTGCTGTACCCCCAATCCCCAGCTAACCCCCACATCCTAGTTTCCTAGTTTCTAGGGTCGGAAGGGACCTGAGCGGATCATCGAGTCTGACC